GCTCTCACACATCCACACACATCCACACACACGCACACACACACACGCGCACACACACACACACACACACACACACACACACACACACACACACACACACACACTGCACTTCCACCCACCACGAAATGTAAAGGCCTTTCAACTCATTAACGAACGTGAAATGCGAGTGGGCCTCAACTCAACGTTACAATTACAAATAGAGCCAATCCTGGGTCTGTAATGGAATCCCTGGCCGCCGTATCTCCTATGATATGATCTAAAAGCACTTACCGCTTCTTAAGGGCACTCGTCTCAATGAGAACAAATGAAGTGCAAAACCAAGTAAATGTTACTATCGTATTTCAGCCAGTGTCGGACAGTAACTGAGTACGCTATTTTGAGTACTGCCGACACCGGGAACTAGGGACACGACACAGACTATAGAGTAAAGCCGCTATAAGGTGTACTGACGCAGGTTGGACGACCCTTGCCATTCCGGTGTATTGTCCCATGTCCCCGGGCGGCGCACCGGAGCCTGATGGACTTGGCAGACCAATAACCCGCCATTGACGTCATTCGGGTGGCGTCATTCTGCCGCTTATGAGACTTGCGACCACAGAGATAGGATTTAGCGGATGAAACCGGCATGTGTGTTGATGTTTGTCTGTTTCTCGCTCACTTAAAACGATGGGCGTAGATACACAAGAATTGTTATTGAGTGGGCCACTACTCTCTCTCTCTCTCTCTCTCTTTCTCTCTCTCTCTCTCTCTCTCTGAAGCCTGGGTTCAATTTGCACAATTGCTGGGACTGAATCACAAGGTCTGTAGCGGCTGCCATGCGGTGCTCAAGCCCGAAGTGAAGGCTTCGCTATGACTCGACGTGAGCGAAAACGACAGGAGATGATACGTGAAATGTTTAACCCGTGGAAACCTATTGGCGCTTTTCATTTGGGTAGCGTTATGTATGAGCAACAAATTTTTTATTTCTGGTCCTCTCCCTTATAAAAAAACTGGGCATCTTATTATTTCAAGTTATATCATATTCGATGTCTCATGGAGGTTTCTTCCATTGAATCAAGTCCGGTCAGCTGTGTTCTAATGGTCACATGCAGACCGAGGAGGCGGTTATTGGGACTGTGGACCGGGCTGTGCTCATGTGTAGTTTAGAGGGGAGTCTGCGTTACGTTCGTGTGGACATGCCATGGTCACGTGTGATAGACAGGCAATGCGATGAGATGTTGCGAACAAAGTCGCACGATAGAAGAATGTTCTTTCAATCCAACAGCAAACTTAGCATAAACTGAAGAACAAGATTGAAATACTAAAACATGTATACTGCAACTGACAATTCATGCCACATTTTCACAACCACATAACCCAGTCCCTCTCAGTCCCTGTAAAACCTGCGTTCTGTTGTTGACAAAGTTTTGTAAAGATTGCAGTCAACACCAACTCCTATATTTGTGAAGACCTGTGACGTCTTGAAGCATTTGTCTTACCGTGCAGACGGCGTTCTTATCGTCCCACAGCGTCAACGTCGTTTCGATTTACGGAGCACAGAATAACTGATGACACGAGGCATCTCTTTGCGAGCTGTTGAAATGAATCAATGACGGCGTGAATATATGTGTAGACAGATAGATATATGAAGACAATAATTCAGACTAAACAATATTAGTACAACGCCAATATTTCGGATTGCTTCTCGTATATTACGGCTGACAGTGACGCTAGCTGACGCAGGTTGTATAAATTTGACTTATCTCTATGTTTATTATGTGTTACTAACTACTCGGGGTGTTGTGAGCTAGCCAATACATGTATTTGAAACTTAGGGCCAACAAACGATTTAACTAAATCGTGGAATTGGCCGTCTTTTCCCCCAAAGAATTACCATGAAAAGCTGTTCATTGTTGTGCTGAACTAAAGATGGCGCCCTCTAGAATATGCTTCTGCTGTTCTTGTGTGGACGACGCACATAAAACGTCAGAAAGTGAATACACAAAACGAAGACATGAGTGTACATAAATCTACAACAAGATTTTTCTAACGATGTTCGCAAGTCGAAATAGATGAATAATTAATTCATTGAGATTTATTACATTGATATAAAAGGTGACGATCAATTTTTGAAGATGTCAAGCCGGAGACCGGACTGTAAGGTTCATCCAACCACTCACACCACGACGAACCCTACTCTTTTCGATAAGTGTGGTGGGCTCTTTAATCTACTTGAGGTGCGGCTCGCTCCTCAAACACGGGAACGGACCTCCAGCTTTATTCCCTTCCCGAGAGGACGCCCTAACAGGAGATAATTTGCACCTGAGTCGCGGGAGGAAATAGGCATTTAGTGCCTTTCTTAACTTACCAAACTTGATAAGCACAGAACCAACATGGGCTCAGTAAGGTTGGACACATGAACTGCTTGCACGTGTAGAGAAGCCGGAGAGAAACAGCCTCTTCTGAAGTGTTATTTCATTCCTTCTCACGTGCGCTTGACGAGCAGACCTGACGCTCTTGTCCCCGCTCCACTGCTGCCGGGCTGATGCTCACGTAACGGAAACACACCGGGCCTGGCGCTGAGACCGGGCCGGTACATGTGAGGCCGGCCTGCTGTCCTCGTCGGTAAAGGTCACGCGAGCTCGCACGTGTCTAGTCGCTCTCCGTTGATTGCGAATTGCGAAGTTTAGCGCCAGAACTTGTGTGAAATTGGGGAAAAGTGGCACGGAGGGAATTTCCAACCCATTTCCTTTGATTTCCATTATTTTTAATGACTGTGAAATCCTGGGTGGGTTCCTCTTTGAGTCATGTCAGACTAGCCTTTAAATGAACGAATGAGCCATGAACTCGCCAGGAAAATCTACCAAATGGAAATATATTGACAGACTTTGCCAAAGACACCTGTAAAAAGTAAGACGTTGCCGTCTTCCACGGAAACCCGGGTTCGTCAACGGGCTCCCGCCTGAGGGCACAGGGAATCTAAGATGTTTGATATCTGCTATAAAAGCAGTTTTACAAGTCGTCTTAAAATGTCAAAAGGGGGCTGAACTGCAGTGGCTCATTACCGGGGATGAGGAGGATGAGAAGATGTGTGAAAGTACAGGGAATCTGAGTAACTTGTTCTCCGGCAGCGGAACAATTACAGGCTTAACAGCCTGCCGATGACGCACGTGGAAATCCCACCCGGATCCCAGGCCATGATTCTCCCGTTTCGTCTGCCCTTACAACTCTTAATCGTCTCTTCCTGTGAATAAGGTGTAGAGGAATGGATGTAAGGAGGCGGAAGGAAGGGGCTGATGAGGCATGGAAACACGGTTGGAAACAAGTAAACAGAGGAAACAGAGCGTAAACAGAGAAAACTAATAACGTGCAGTACTTGCCAGCTCAGCCCATTGCCACAGGAGGCATTCTCGTAATGATATGTAATTAAGACAAAAACATTCTGGGACAAATATTCCGTACACAACATGTCCCTCATAGGCCGCCCTCGGGTAACTATGCATGAACTAACCCCCTTCCTCTACTGGCTTGTCTTCAATTTTAATCGCAACCTGAAATATTCAAGTCACACGCGTGCCTCAGTATGCTCAGAGCAGTCGTGGTTTTATGGTCTTTTATGGATGGCATCCGCGCACATCGATTTGAACACGTTTCCCTGTACATGTACAGTTGATGACCCGCGGCTATGTTCACATTATTACATTAATATTCCCGGAACAAGTTGTAGTAAACGAAGAAAAACCACTCAGTAGGGAGTGACAGCCCCGGTAGGGAGTGACAGCGAAACAGTTTGTTGGGCTATTAAAAATATATCCGCAAACACGCTGAGCTTGTGGTTTATTGTGGAACAACTTTAGCTGCCCATCCGTGGGTGACAGCTATTCTTCCAGGAGAGGGTGCTTATATACTGGACGGTTTCCCAGTACAAAACTTGTTGGTAAAAAGTAGTCGTTCACAGGGGATATCTATGCCAGGTCTGCTGTATCTCAAGCAACGGCCCTGACGTACCCACAGGTATTCCACTCCTAACGTTAGCAGTACACCTGCAACAGGTATTCCACTCCTCGGGTCTATCCCGTAAAAGACAGCAGAGATTGGCCAATCTATTCACTAACCCAAGCAGTCTGGCGGAGGCTAGGTACTAGTACTTCAGGCCTGTTCCAGTAATAGAATTCTCCGTCGTTGACCTATACTGCAGTGTTGATGTGAGAAGGCTCCTGATGTTACCAGCATGCGTGGGTTGAGGACCTCTTCAAACAGCCACTAACAAAGAACCCATGGCCCGCATACATTCACCTGAACAGGCAAATATATCAAGGAGAGGGTTCAGACGAGTTGAACCAATACACGTTGATTCATCCATATACTTATATGTAAGTTCATTTGTTACGTGTATGTATTTTGTTTACACCATTTGCTTATATGTCTTATTAGTAGTCCACTTATTTCTACGTATACCTGTATCGGACCTTACGAAAGTCACTGTGCTTTTGTTGTCAATAAAGGTGTCTACGTGTATTTTCTGAACGCAGCTCACAGCTAATCGAAAAATAAATAAATCTGGTCTGAGACCTTGGTGGTAATTGCCAATCTTTATTATATACAGGCGGATGTACAGCCAATAATTACATGTTTGAGACAAGAGTTGAAACTTAATAACGGCAGTAGACTGGCTGACTGTGGCACCTCCTGGGAAAGGAACTATACAAGAACAGAGTGTAGACCTTAACTCCTGTTACAAGTTCAACCAAACAAGCAGCATGACATCTTCACAATAATCCAGGAATAAAACGACATGTTTTAGGGATGAAGAGCAAGGTGTTTGAATGGTCTCTAGGAAATATTCAAAATATTTCTGATCTCAGTACAAGTTTATAGCAATCATACACACCTTCTGACCAAGATATGTTTTTCATCTTATTCCTGTATTATGTAGTAAATACATTGTGACATAAAAGTCGCTGACTGCACCATTGGCAGCCAATTTTTCTCTGTACTACATGCACCACATACACTCAGTCTAGCTTATAATTTTGAAACCATCTTATTTTCAAGAAGTCTAAAATCTCTGGTTTTCCACTCCTCCCTACCATTTGCTGGTGCCTTTTTAAACCACAGAAACACAAAACAGTGAATCTTCCAGGTTTGCTCTTATGTGGACTCAGAACATGTCATGGAAGTACAATATCACAACATCATGGGAATTAAACAATAAATATGAATAGTACACATAATATATCTTTTTACTGAGTATCCTGATCCTAAAGTTGTACAGGGAACTTCTCTCTACACCAAAACCAATTTGTCAATAAGAGTCACCAAAAATGATGCCCTGTTCTCCAATATCTTTTACACACCACCTTTTAGAGGTCATTATTCCCATGACTTGATCTGGCCACAGACAGCTACAAGAAATTGATTTTGGTTTTACAGTAGAGAGAAAGGATTCTCCACACTCTTGATTGCATATGCCATTCTCATATACAGCCTGTAAGGAGCTAGAGAACATCATATTTAAAGTAAGATCAGATAACTTCACAACATATGTAGAATGGACAAGAGTGGCCGAGTCAACATATTTTGAAATGGTGATGAAATCTTAGTGAAATACACTGCATAAGACAAACAGTATGTTAAATTGATGATGAAAATGATGATGCTTGTTTTTCTGTGGGATTTTCAGCAAACACTGCCAACATGTTTTGGGCAAACAGATGTTTGCTTGGTTTCATGTATTTTGCATCATACATTTCAAATTTGAAAATTCCTCCTGTCCTGCGTACAAAAGTAAGAATAGTAATGTCTCTTACACAGTTTTGTTCAAACAAGTTCATTTGGTATGTCAACTGTGGAGGGCAGCCATGTATTGAAAATTTCCAGGTTTAATATTTCGGCCCCTAGCTCCTAATCTGTTTAAAAAAGACTGTTAAACAATGGGAGCACCATTTCATTTAATAGGCTGTTTGCCTGAGTGAGAGAATTGTATTCAGATATGCTTTTTACGTCATCAGTGTGGTAAAACCTAAACACTACAAGGCAGATCCATTCCTTCTCTGACACGACAAGTAACATGGCTACTCTTAGGTCACACCAATTTATTTTCCTCGTACTCAGACATTTTAAAGTGGACATCATAAAAGCAGAAGGCAGGGTGGAAAACTTGAACGTGACTGTATAAACTCCATAAAACTGAGTGTATCAAGACATAACCTGGTCCTCAAACTTTGTGTTTGACATTTGTAAGCATATTACTTAAAAAATCTGAGATCCAACAAAATGAGTTGTACTATAGGATTAATCACAAATCAATGTACAACTAAGAGGTGTATCATTGCCATGGCAACACATCCGCTCTCATGCCAAGAAGACGACAAAGATGATGAAGAATACAATGAGCACGCCGAAGACCTTGATCATGAGCCAGCGGTTGGAGGAGATGGACTGGAAGTACTTCAGGATCTCCCCGTGTGCCGCCTCCACATTCAGAACTGTGTCCTCCACGTTGTCATCAATCCTGGAGGGAACAAACATCTGGATTATTTCTTTGTTTGATGATGGGTACTTCAGAATCTTAAACAGCTTTCAATCTTTCAATACCAAATAATTAGATAATAATCTAGAAATTTTTTTATCTGTTCATACAGAGAGAAAGTTTGCAAGGTACCAGACTGCTGAGTACGAATCAGTCTTAACATGCTGATACTGGCACTGCAGTTTCCCTTGTCAGAACATTCTGTGAATTCAGTTAGCATTTTCATGAGGGGTTCATTTTATGGTATGGGGAGAAATAGGTTCTTGCACTGTTTCTAAGTCACAGTTAAAATGAATTTGAATATTCTGTAATACATTAATACTGGTACAATGGTGATAAATATACGCAGTGTCCCAATTTTCATTGTGAACGGAAAATAAAACAACTGCAAAAATTCTAAGATTTACAGTATACATACATTGTATATAGCTGTCAAGATTTCCCACCCTTGTTATTGGCTATTTTTACACAGAAGCTGATGACCACCTGTGCTTGCCAACACTTCCATTAACAACTTGGCACACCTGAGGGATAGCTCACGCCTGCCTCAGACATTATTTCTCACTAAGGCCACACCAATTCAATTTGTTGGTTTGTCAGATTTTTTAATAAAATATGCTTAACTGGAAAGACCTAATGAAAACAAAACTTGAGGACCAGAAGTCCAGAGTTTGATTCACAGTCAGCTGGTGCAGACATCTTTTAAAGACAAGTAGTTAAATAGGCAACCTCACTGACCAACTAAAATTGTGAGGACCAGCCTGGACAGATATGTTTGAATAATGGTGAGGACAATGTAAGCAGCACGTGCATTGACTGGAAAAAATGTTTTTCAAAATGGAGTTCCTTTTCACTTGGTTCCCACTTGTGCTTAAACCCTATAAATCATTCTTGTGGGCAAGAAATGAGTGGCTTTGCAGGTAATGGAAAAAAATCATGTGGTGCCACTTAGCATTCTGAGAGGCACTTTAAGGTTTAAGTTAGGAAACTAGATGACTGTTAGATGTACCACAGCAGGCCTCAGGTTAAGCAGTAAAAATCTCTGCCAGCCTTACATGTGCAACATGGGCCCAGCCTGGGGGGAGATGCTATCAGCTTCTGGTTAATGTGGCCAGAGTTTTTTACCCAGTGGCCATCATTTCTGTTCAGTACCTACTGTAAATACTTTCTCGGGGACTTCATTTTGTGGCAGAATACATCAGGAAGTTTTCACGGTATTACACTGGAAATGCATACTGGTACACATATGTCATAAACTATGTCGGAGAGGTGATTGTAAAAACTGCAAAAATAAAACCAGTGCAATCATATCAAGATTTACAGAAGCCTACAGGTGAACATAATGGCTGGTGTGCTATGGGAACAATGGGGATTTTATGTGTTTTAATGTTGACAAATTCAGCAGTTTTATTCTGTGTACTAAACCTTACCTCAGGCAATGTACATATTTATCTCAATATATGGATATTATTATCTAAATGTGCAGGGCAGGAAGGGCATAATTGCACCAGCCATTTTACCACGATCTATTTTAAAATTCTGTGAATAAAACTAAATATCAAAGAAAACCCAGTTGGACCATATTTAGGAAACCCCCTGGAAGTCTTTCCTTCCAGCAGTTTTCTAAAGTACATTTTGATTTACTCATTTAGTTTTGAAGTCAATGCACTCTTTTGAATTACTGGTTTATCTATTCCTACTTACAAATCCCCAAGGCAGCTAGCAATCAAACTTGCATCTTTTATGGATGAAAACATGCTTCCAATATGTGATATTAGTGTACAGAGGGTAAAAGATATGCCATTACATGTATGTGACCATCCATCCATCTAGTCCTGGCCTGGCTCGTATTTGAGATGGTGGCTAAGGTAATTTCACATCCATCCATCCATCCACCCACACAGACACCCACGCACGCATGCTGGCATTTACTGGACTTCTTCAAACTGGCCGTGAAGTGGGGCAATAACCACTCACATGGAATCCACACTTCTCCCCACTGTAGCAGGGTTAGACATGCTTGCACTTTGTCAGGGTTTGACAGCAGACCTCCAGATGGAAAGAGTATGAAGGGTGAAATTCAAATTTGCGAAACATCAATTTCATCAAATCAAACTGATGCGTCCTGCGAAATCCATGCCTTGCACAGAGTCTGACAAGAAGAGACAATCATCTCTCATGGAGCACATCTGGGCCGCGCCCTGTTCAATTTCCTCTGGTCTATAGACAGCTACAGGCCCTGAGTACATCTCTGTCAAATCAGATAAAGGCAGGCCAGCCTTGGGTGCTATTTCTGTTGTTTGCTGATTTCATCTACCATTTATTCCACACTTGGTTTTTGGGTCAATGGCCTCTGGATTCACATAGGATTAGGTACTGGTGAATGAAGCACTATGTCTGTGTTCTGTAGGGTTTACAGTTTTAGGTCAATGGGCCCTATTATGACACTGGATACTATAATATGCATGAAAAATACATGTGCTTGTGAATAAAATGGCTTCTGTGGGAGAAATCCTGCTAAAGGAGCTGAATAGTTCAACGAAAAAAGCTGTCTAGCACCTCTTGTTTATCATTTTTGCACCTCTTGTTTATCAAATGTGTGCAGTTTACTACGTAGATGTGTCAGTGGTAATTTTTATTAGGAATGTATTTCCAGCTGTTGGCAGAGAATGAAGACTTTTATTTCCTGACCTCTGTACTTGTTCCTCCTGTTCCTTGACCATGGTGGCCAGCTGCTGAAATATGGAGCCCAGCTCGACTATCGTGGACTCAATATTCTCCATCGTCCGCGCTCGCTCCTGGATGTACGCATCCTACAGAGGGGGTGGGGAGGGGGGCAGCACTGTTAACTACATGTACAGATATCAATAAGATTATTCATATCAAATGTCAATTTTTTATGTGTTTTTCTCTTTCTCAAGGAAGCACTGTAGTACAGTGGACCCAATTTAGTAATGCCCTCTGTCAACTCTTTCATGTACTGCAGCAATGTCATCATTTCTCAAATTCCCTCCACATAGTGTTATAAAGGCTCACATCCTGCCCCCACAAGTTTTTCTGGTGTCTCGAGAGCACATTTCTCCTGCTGTGTTTCCTAAGCATAAGGGACAGTTATGAATTGGCTTGTCTGGCCATAAGCCAGTTTACTACTATATTGTAGTTACAACTTACATACTGCTAAACAAACAAACAAACAAACAAATAAACTGACGTCCTCCTCCACGAGTTGCAGCTGTCTCTGGTGTCTCTGTCTCTCCAGTGCGTCCATGTCAATGGCCACCTCGCCTGACTGGAGAGACTTGGTCTCATCTAGTAACAGGATGGACCCTCCAGCTGGGCAGCACAGAAAAGGGAAGGAAACAAATTAGAGATGGTCTTCAACCCACAATGCTGCCTACACACATAACTAATAGTAATAGAGAATTGGTAGCTATTCAGTGTTTGTTTGTTTGGTTTATTAGGATCAGCATTAGCGTTACATGAATTTCACACTATTTCAGCTCTACTTCTCTCTTCTCATCACATACAAGCAGGATATGAATTTAAATTCTCATGATGGGCTGGTGCAGATGACTTTTAGGTAGCCTTGCCAACCTTGCCAACTCCTAACCACAGGTGACCTTGCTCAAGTTTGTGTTTTAATTTGTTTCATGACTGCAAAATTTAGTCCATGTAAATGTAAATGGATTCACAGTAGTGCCATGCTACATATTATCATCATTAAATCCCAAACTGTAACAGTAACTGCACCAAGAACTCTTGATAATGGCACTGTGTGGGTGTGAGGGGGTGAAGTGTGGTACTCTGACATTTAGATCAAACTGTGTTTCAGGGAAAACAACAGGGATAGCTAGGTCTCAAGTGTTATATTTCACTTGAGCTGACAGAAACAGCGGTATGGAGGCTTTGATCAGTCTTCTTTCCAGGTAAATTGAAGGATGATCATACCCTAGTAAATGTCACCAGGCTTTTAGGCATCTGGAAATTGAAGCTCAATCAGTCAACTTTCCCTCTATATATGTAGTTGAATCACATCATATCCTCAGGGATAGGGAGAGTAACTAGATGGCAATGCACCATGTGCAGGGCTTTAGAGCCTTTTTTGCATTCCTGCAATGGTGCAAGTAAAATTAAAAATTACCCGTACTTCTCATTTTCCTTCCCTTTTATTCTTGTCTATCAAAAAGGTGGACCTGACACTAATGTAGATCCTGTAGATCTGTACAGCAGTTGTACAAAGTTGGACCAGAAACCATTTCAATTCTTTCTTTTTCCATTTACAGGTGGTAAAACTCAGTAAAGCAAACTCCTCTATGAATATATCAAAATTTCTTATTCTGGTGATATTCTGGCTCATTCCACCTCTTGTGTGAAGGGGGCTTAGGTCAAGTCTCTCGGCAGTTTAGATTTGAAGGATAGGCAGATCACAGAACATCACGGAGGAGACGGCTGCCTCAGTAGAAATGCCTTTGCCCTCAAGTTACCTTTGCAGGACGTGAGCTGCAACTTGAGTGGCCCAAGTTCTTTCCCATATATGTATTTACAGGGTCCACAAGATGAGGAAATACAGTGCGTAAGACAGAGCTAGACATAGCAAACTACACGTGGTCTAGCATTTTTAATTATCTGATCAAAAAAGTTCTTATCCAACACAGATTTTGTTCTAAAAGAGCAACATTTTGACCCTGCTATGATGCAGTTAACTTTCTTACTCACTATGCTAATTGCTTTTTGGCTGCAGAAGATAATCAGCAGGGAGAAGGCTATTAGCAGACATTGCTTTAAAATGCATCAGTACTTCCTCCAGCTGGACTGACATCTTGTACGGTTTAAATGTGTATTCTTTTACAGCTTTGTGATCAAAAAAATGAATTAATAGGAATAGGCAAGTCACTATTTAGCCATGGTCTAAAATTTACCAGAATTTACCATGGCCAATACTGACCAACAGAGGTCATACAGTATGTAATACATTGTACATGTATATATAATATAGGCCAGTTAGCATGTTTTCAACAGGCAAATGCATTAAGCACCACCTACCAGTTTGCTCATGCATTGCACAGCAATGAACATGTACATTTGTATACCAGCCTGTTAAAGCACTTGTGCCACCAACAACAGGAAAATGAAACTTGTTCCTGATTACATCTTACCATAATAAGTATTCTCCAATGAACATAGATATGTGAGAAAAACAAACAGCCTTCTGATGTTAGTGAACATTATCACCCTGCAGTTAGTACTATGCCTGGTTCTGAACTGACTGCTGTGTTCACTGTTAACATGAATACCTGGCTGCAGGTATCAAGAACTGGAAGGTTGGATGTTCTCTAACATCACAAGGGTGTTTATTTTGTATAGATGCTCACTGAACAATACAGCCATAGACTATTGAGCTGCAGGGAAGTCTCACCTTCTCCGTTGGGTGCGTTGTACGTAGATGGAGGCATGCTGGAGGAGACTGGACCCTGAGAGAACTGTTCTCTTCTGGACCTCTGGTGCTTCAGGTTCTACAACACAAAACAGGAATGTAAAATTTCAGCAAAACCTAATTACATACCTTATTGCTCTATTCAGATCTTGAATCTGAATCTTAATGACTTCTACCAACACAGATGAGCTTTCATGCTAAGTTCTAATTTTTGTTGCACAAAGGTACATACAATGTATGCAGAGGGTATTTCCAGCCTTCATACATACACTGCACTACTGAAACAGTGAAATTGCTACTCACCTCTGTTCTAACCTCCAACACTGACTTGAAGTCATTGGACATCGTGGCCAGCTTCGACTGAAAAGGAAAGAATTGTTCATCATTTTAGCTGTTTTAGGTATAAACAATCATCCTTTAACCTTCAGTCTGATACAAATTTGTATTGAATAAACAGTAGGAAGAGGGTTGCCTGCACTGTTGACTCAACTACATGTATGTTTGATTACATATTTTGTACTTGTCTCACATTTTAAAACTTTATCCAAATATGGTCCTACTTAGGCAGCCATTTAGCATCAGATTTCTATTGGATATGGGGTTAAGAAGCAGGGAGATGGTTAATTATGCTTATGATAATTCTGGTCAATGTAACAATATATCTGTGAAACTAAACAAAACAAATCAAGCACCTGTAGTGCTACCACCACACTGTTGGAATGTGACTGGACATGGCGGCCATTTTGTCTGACCCTTGACCGTGCAAACTGGAAAAGAAGACAATCAGTCAGAGTTCATCTCATTTCTGATTAAATACTATGTAGAAAATAATACTCCAAGCAGAAACATCACCATTGATAACTATGTGTTACAAACTAATGTACATGTATCAGAGTTGAAAGTTTATTAAGATAAGATAATATTGTGGGTGATATGACATTCTATTGAGAACAAGCGAGAGGAGCATAAAACTGGTCAAGTGGACCCATACATATATATACAAGTTTGAGACTTTGACATACCTCTTGCAACTCTGCAATCTGTTTGTTGAGACTAGCTATGTCCTGTTCACAAGAAACGAACACATGTAGATAAGTATGATGTAATCAAAACTTGTGGACAAACTTTGAAGGTATCTGTATCTGTATCTGTATAGCAGGTACATGTATAACCGCCTTTCGGCGTAACATACCAGCTTAAAGGTACATGTACATTGTACTTGTAACAAAATGGTCAGCAGACGTGAAGACTGTCTGTAGCTGCATTGGGACATTGTAAACAACACATGGATATAAATAAAACTTTCTTAGTTACTATGCGCATTACCAGAAAATTCATGCAGATATAAATCTACATATCATATCCTGAAAACACTTATCTAGCTGTTACAATTGAGATATTAGCCATAACATACAGACAGAAGACATCTGTACTTCCCAGTTTAACCTACCTGTTTGATTATATATGTTAACTCTTGGATTTCCACAGGTTTGTCATCAAACAAGGATTTCCTTTTGGCCACTGAGAAGGAAACGAACAGAAGGAAGTTAATATTGATCAGGTTCAGGTGAAGCTAGCGGATGACAGAAAATCTGCCATGATTGTAACTTGACTGACAAACAGTAATTCCAAAGAATAAATATGCCCTGTTGTCTTTTTACATTAGTACATGAGTAATATCTACTTACGTATTGTAAGTTTTTCTAACTTGGCAAATGTGTTGGCGATATCTCTTCCGATTCTCCTGCAACAGAACACATGGTAAATGTCAAGGTGTGTGTATTCTTATGGCTCAATGCAGAAAAAAAAAGCACCATTATGTAGGATGCCCACACTGCTACATGTAACAGATAGATGTTGTGACAGAGACACTGTGCATGTACAGCCTCAAACATCAAGAGGCCACATGCGTTCCAGGGCTGCCTCCCTGTGACATCTGTATCTGTATAGCCGGTATAACCGCCTTTCGGCGTAACACACCAGCTTCGCAGGCACGCGGCGCGGCGGCAGCTGGCTATATAACACTGATCGATGTGTTACACCTAACCCTTGAACTTTTAACTCTAGAAATCGTTTAAAGCTATCTAATGACAATGCCCCTACTGTACTTGGTGACAGTGAGTTCCACTCTGCGATAGTTCTAGGAAAGAACACCTCANATTAAGGCCANACCAATTTAATTTGTTGGTTCTCGGATTCGCCTCTTCGTTTTTTTCTGATTTAGCAAAAAAAAAAAATTTGACTTTGGTCCTGAATCAACTGAAAAATGCTAATCGTTTTGCCCCCAACAGTTGAGGAAAGTCCTTTTCTTCCTACTTGTTACAGTTTTCCCATCTATCATTGCAGTGGTTTGATTAGAAGTTCAAAATTCAATGTTTAAATTTTAACCCAGCCTTTTGTCTTGACTTCATGGCTCATTTTGTAGCATTTAAGCCTATAATAGGATGCCTAGACCTGTTTTTATTTTTATTTTTTTCGCCCTGTCGCTTCATATTTTTTCTGAAAAAAATCCGAGAACCAACAAATTAAATTGGTGTGGCCTAAGATAGGATAATATTGTGGGTGATATGACATTCTATTGAGAACAAGCGAGAAGGGCATAAAACTGGTCAAGTGGACCCATATATATACATACAAGTTTGAGACTTTGACATACCTCTTGCAACTCTGCAATCTGTTTGTTGAGACTAGCTATGTCCTGTTCACAAGAAACGAACACATGTAGATAAGTATGATGTAATCAAAACTTGAAGACAAACTTTGAAGGTATCTGTATCTGTATCTGTATAGCCGGTAAAACCGCCTTTCGGCGTAACATACCAGCTTTAAGGTACATGTACATTGTACTTGTAACAAAATGGTCAGCAGACGTGAAGACTGTCTGTAGCTGCATTGGGACATTGTAAACAACACATGTATATAAATAAAACTTTCTTAGTTACTATGCGCATTATCAGAAAATTCATGCAGATATAAATCTACATATCATATCCTGAAAACACTTATCTAGCTGTTACAATTGAGATATTAGCCATAACATACAGACAGAAGACATCTGTACTTCCCAGTTTAACCTACCTGTTTGATGATGTATGTTAACTCTTGGATTTCCACAGGTTTGTCATCAAACAAGGATTTCCTTTTGGCCACTGAGAAGGAAACGAACAGAAGGAAGTCAATATTGATGAGGTTCAGGTGAAGCTAGCGGATGACAGAAAATCATGATTGTAACTTGACTGACAAACAGTAATTCCAAAGAATAAATATGCCCTGTTGTCTTTTTACATTAGTACATGAGTAATATCTACTTACGTATTGTAAGTTTTTCTAACTTGGCAAATGTGTTGGCGATATCTCTTCCGATTCTCCTGCAACAGAACACATGGTAAATGTCAAGGTGTGTGTATTCTTATGGCTCAATGCAGAAAAAGCACCATTATGTAGGATGCCCACACTGCTAACAGATAGATGTTGTGACAGACACTATGCATGTACAGCCTCAAACATCAAGAGGCCACATGCGTTACAGGGCTGCCTTCCTGTGACATCTGTATCTGTATAGCCGGTATAACCGCCTTTCGGCGTAACACACCAGCTTTGCAGGCACGCGGCGCGGCGGCAGCTGGCTACATTACACCGATCGACATGTTACACCTATCCCTTGAACTTTTAACTCTAGAAATCGTTTAAAGCTATCTAATGACAATGCCCCTACTGTACTTGGTGACAGTGAGTTCCACTCTGCGATAGTTCTAGGAAAGAACACCTCAATCCTCGGTTGATAACTCTGGTACTTGAACGAAGTTGAAGGCATGGCTATTTCTTGTTCTCTTCTGGGCTGGTATTAGGTACTTATTAGTAGTTGGGACGTCCACCAGTTTATTATTCATTTTGTACATCATGCATAGTCTGGACATTTTTCTTCTGTCTTCCAGTGAGGCCCACTGTAGGTTTCTTTTCATTTTTGTGACACTGGCACCTCTTTCATAGTTGTTCATACAGAATCTTGCAGCTTGATTCTGTACCCTTTACAATTTGTCTTTGTCTTTCTTTGTATATGGATCCCATACTGTCGCAGCATATTCTAGGTTCGGTCTTTCAAGTGACGTGTATGCAAGTGATTTTACTCTAGTTGGACATGCCCACAGATTACGTTTGATTACTCCCAAATGTCTGTTTTGCCTTAGTTGTGATATTACTAACATGTGCACCCCACTTCAGACCGCTTGTCAGTGTGACGCCCAGATACGGATGGGTTTTTGTGGTTGCTAAAGCCTGGCCACAAAACTGGTAGCTAGTTGTATGTGGTGTTCGTTTGTTTGTTATGTGCATAATGTAGCATTTTTCGGGATTAAACTGCATGAGCCATTTGCTTTGCCATTCTTCCAGTCAGAATCCAGTGTGTTCAGGTCTTTTTGCAGAAGTTGTGAGTCGGTCTGTCTAGACAGCTCTACATACAACCGACAGTCATCGGCAAATAACCTCACGTTTGAGTCAAGCTGATCTGGCAGGTCATTTATATACAAGAGAAAGAGCAATGGTCCCAGGACGTTTCCTTGAGGGACCCCAGATGCTACTTTAACTGGAGCCATACCCATAGAGGAAGAAGTGGATGGATTGAGTAAGTTGTAATCTTCAGGGAATGAAACATTCTCAGAAACACCAAATTTTTTATGTGCTAAGAAACCAAATATCCATTTGCAAACATTGCAAACATAAACCCTCAATACAAGAACTTACTTTGCCCTGTGTGAAAATTCACTCCTTTGCCTCAAATCTCTGGATACAGGTCTGTTCAGTGCAGCTCCCTGGAATATGAGAACAAAACATTAAAAACATTCTCCCTGCTACAGAATCCTGTAACCAATACAGATTTGGTGCCAAAAGGCTAGCCAGCAGCCAGAGGGTTAACCAAGCAAAAATAGCACCTAGCACTTCTCTAGCAAAATGGAATAAATTCGATTATCTAAAATTGTTTTGTGATATATGACGTAACCTACGTTGAGTTACTAGAAGTGATTTTTGCACATTATTAAGATAATATTTAAGGACAACTGACTACAGTTGTTTGTGAGACATTGTTATTCATACATTGATCTAAATATTTTCACGTTGAAGTTTGTACATCAGTCCCACTAAAATTGTACGAATAGTACCTAACATAATGTGGCTTTTCTCAGTCAAATAACAGGAAGTGAAAGTGGATCTGTGCTACGCACACACCTGTCTCATCTGCATGGACTTGACAGCAGAGACGAACTCAGAGGTCCTGTCTCGACACGACATCTCGACAGACGGTACCACATATGTCGGCGAAGAAGAAACAGTCCGTTCACTGCCGTTCCCGTTACTCGAACCTCCGGAATCAAACCTGCGGCGCCTAGTCGTCATTGAGAAGCACCAGAACCAAAGACGAGGAATGGACAGTAAACTGCATACAGACCGACTCCTCTGTCCTGTAGTCCATGAATGAGGTACAACTTGTTGTGAGCTGTTTGAAGATTGTACCTCAGGCTTAGTTCAGTCTGACACACTGTGTAGTGTTGATCCAACTCTATGGTTTTCTGTTGTTGTTTGGGTAGCTGCTGTTTCTGTTCCCTGTGAAAACACAATATGCTGATTATAGATTGGAAATAATCTTCTTAGCATGCAGTTTAAAGATGACCTGATATCATACAAAATATAAAATCACACAAACGTATGATTTGACCCCCCATTCAAGAGGAGTACAGGCAGGGTTGTGCAGGCTCAGCAAGACATTGATGGGGGAGGTGGCTGCTTTAATACAATACATCAAATCATGCAATAGAAGTCTGTAATATTCTGCTAATCAGTACCTTAAGTTACCTGGTACAACCATAATCCCTGGTTGAACGACAACAGGTAAATCCAACAGACTCATGTGATTTACTGTACAAGTAATTTATGCCCCCCTCCCCTATATAACGTATCATGAAATTATACAAAGACCATATGCTGTACGTGTGTGTTAGAAAGTTATAACGACGTTGTGGGTCGTCGGAAGGTATACAAGGTAAATAAGTATCTGAGACACGTACGTATCCAAGCTGGATATACAGTTTCAGTACGTGTTAGTATGTACTGTCACTCGGCATATCAGACTGAACACTTCAAACAGGACATGTTTTAGGCTCCAGTTGAATTCCTACTCACTTCAGCTGCGTCTGTATGTGATCCTGCACACGTGTACTGTTCGCGACATCAGTGAACGGGCTAACAGAGCTGAAGTCAGCAGGAAATTTGTGGAAACTTGTGAAACATTCGTGACACACCGGCTTCAGGTTCGTAGTGACGTCACGGTGGCCACGTCTTCCGGAAGCCGGAAGTGGGATCTTAGATGACAGTTTTTCATAACATTGACCAAAAAATATTCGATTTGAAGTTCAAAATTTTTGAATTATATTTCGTTTGACGATACAGGTCTTTGGTATCAAATGTTTTCAGAGAAATTTCAATAACTTTTGACCTTTACACTTGCATAATTTTCTGGGATAGTACATTATGTAAATAGGGGAGTACAGACTTTTCACCAGTACGTACATGCAAAGGTCAGTGATAAAAGTTTTATCATTTTGGTTTCTATCAGTCAAAGAAAAAGCCTCTTTTAATACTTGGACGCCTTTGAAAATGCAAATTTATGCCGAAGGAGTTAGAAATCAAAACGCCTTTTTTCAATCAGATGAAATAAATGGTTTAGTCTGATAAGTTATCGCGAGAAAACGCGCGATCTCGTGTGTATAAATTGTCCGCGAAACCTACCATCCTTCCCACTCGCAGTAACGCTGTCTGCTGTAGGGTAACATCACGTTGCGTCTGCTAAACTCAGGAAAACGTACTTTATCCCTACTGTCACGGAAATTTCACGCCAGGAACATGCCTCCTGCGTCAGACTCCGCAGCGTCCAGTTGGTCGGAGTACCGCGACCCAGGTGAGACTGTCGCGCGATCGGAAAATTCCATCATGTCCCGTGAAAGCGAAAAGCCGGCCGGCTGGTTTTGTGTACATGTGATGCGCGCGAATGTCAAAAGGGGTTCGCACGCGCACGGGCTATAAACTGATGTCGTCTGAGCTGGTCACCGAATACATGCTTTTAGTTATTAAATGCGTTTTCATCATGAATGCTATCCACATATATGACAGTCGACAGTGAAGTTTTTCCCTTTGATGAGCCTTATGCAATGTTTTCGCAGTTGCGCTATGCTCGTTCACTCCCCGTTTGATAACAGGGATAAGCATGTGAATAAAAAGAACAAATGTCAGGCGGTCGTTCGACCAATTTTTTCTTATCACATCCTACAGTAGAAAGTATAACACAAAGGTACGATCTTTTCTTCAAACTTTAATAGATCATACTTCAATTGATTGTCTGACGTTGTCTAACCCCCGATTGAAAGGTTGTCACGGCGCCACGGCAAGTTTTATACCTGAAATTCAAGTACCTGTACCAAAAAAACAACAACTATTCAATGAATCAATATCAATGTTTGATTAATATTCAATATAGGCATCTTATTGATGTTTTAGTACTGAGTAATTCTAATTTGAATACCCTGTAGCCATGTTTATCAGACATACTGTGATCCAACATGACCCAAGTGATGTCATATGAAAAGCCTGTACACACTGCTGTTTAGTACCAACTATTGCCCCCTCCCCAAAATGTACTTTATAATATATATAATGTTGATTTTAATTTTTTGTTTATCCTCAGCCTTCCTGATCTCCAAGTTGTGTTTTGTACTTGTCCCAGCACTAATAATTTGTGTCCGTCCCACAGAGGTAGCGGCTAAGATTGCTGCCACTCTGCGGGAGCGGATCATGATCCTTGACGGAGGGATGGGTACCATGATCCAGGGGTACCATCTGGAGGAGGATGGTTACCGTGGTGAGGAGTTTAAGGACTGGCCCAAACTCCTGAAGGGGAACAACGACCTGCTGAGCCTCACACAGCCCAACATCGTGTACGACATCCACAAGGTGGGCCCACATGCTCTTCTACTCATTTCAGCAGTTATAATAACTTAGAGCGGGTACACATCTGCTGGAGAAAGGACCGTAAGGAGGAAGTGTGGAGAAAGGCAAAGTCGGTAGGTTCACGTCTTGGCATAGCAGATGACATCGAAGGCAGAATCCAGCTGGCCAACCTTGCAATGAAGAACATGTGGCACATGTGGGGAGCAAAAGCTGTCTCTCTGGAGCTGAAGCTAAAGCTGTTCCACGTGTATGTTCTTCCTGTCCTACTGTATAATGCCGGAACTGGGTTTAACGGAACAGGTAGCTAGCAAGATAGACAGATGGCATCGCAAGCAGCTACGACGCTTAGCCGGCTATTACTACCCCAACTACATCTCTAACAGCAAACTCTATAAGAAGTGTAAGGCTTCACCGCTGCACAACGAAGTACATCGACGTAGGTGGACACTCTTTGGACATATATTACGCATGCCTCTTGATTCACCTGCTCAAAAGGCACTTAACATCGCCTTTAGTAAGAAACTCACACCTAGGAGAGGTAGGCCCCGTGGAGGCCTTCTCGACTGCCTGGTCGATGATGTGAAGCTGTACTTCCATCAGAATGTCCAGACGGCGCCCTACATGCTGAAATGGCTGCGGGAACAGGCAGCAGACAAGGCACGATGGAACGGAACTTTTAAGACTATCGATGTCACACACTGATTTGGTGTGCCAATGACAGTTTGATACCAGTTTATAGAACTGTATTCATTTGCCACCAAGAACAGTATATTATTATTATATTATTATTATTATATAACTTAGATGGTACAATATGTAAATCGTTAAACAAGATGAATTTACACATACAGGATTTGTAATAACAGCTGGTGTTGCTGTGCCCGTCCAGGCATATTTAGAGGCTGGTGCAGACTTTGCTGAGACGAACACCTTCAGTGGGACCAGGATCGCCCAGGCTGATTATGGCATGGAAGAACTGGTACAGTCTTCCCTCTGTTCCTACAGTAAACACCTAACACTTGGGCTTTTGGAGTTGGGAAATTAGTTTAGCGTTTAGCCTGATAGTGATATTTCCACTTCTTAGCAAAGGTGCAGTAAAGTTACTTAGCATAACACATTTCCCTCTATGTTGTTGTATATTGCTGTCATACATTTTTTTCATTATAGGGGACATTGAAATGAATGTGATTAGCTAACAAAAGTGCCAACCCAAGATGTGAAATTATGCTTTAAGTCAATGGAACTACTTTAACCCCCCCTTTAATATGGTATACAATTAAGGGTTAATGATAGCCATGTATAGTTCAAACTAATGCTGACAATAGTGACATAGTTAAAAGTTGAAATTCCATCACACCTACCAGAACTACTAGCATGTATTAATGGCTGATTATTAATGCATAGCTTTATGGCTCAAAAAGCATTGGTAATGGAGGGTTGTAATTGGTCCACACAGCCTGGCTATATACATGCCTGACCTGCCCATGAATCCCCAGGTGTACAGACTGAACAAGGAGTCGGCAGAACTGGCCAAGAAAGCTGCAGACAAAGTCACAGCAGACACAGGTGGGATGGCATGACAGCTGAACATATTATCTGGGTGGAGTTCAGACCCATGGAAAAACTTCTGCATATTAGATGCATATCAACCTCTTTCTGTTTTATAAGTGTCATGGTGAAAATCCTTCCCACACATTTCAGCAAGGTGAACACCCTATAGCTATGTACCTTTGTATATACATGTAGGCCATTGTGCCACTGTACTACTGTACCATCATTACTGTAGTATAATTGACAATCCCGTAATGCTGTCTTCCCCGCAGGTATACAGAGGTATGTTGTGGGTGCGCTGGGTCCCACCAACAGAACCCTCTCCATCTCACCTTCAGTGGAGGACCCTGGGCTCAGGAACATCAGTAAGTACTTAGAAAATGAAAGTGATCTCAAAATCCAGTTTATCTCACTAAATAGCTAATCTTCCACTAGTGGTGACAGAGAAGAGACACTATACAGTATTTACAGATTCATTGTACCAGGGAAAGTCCCTTACTAGGTCTTTGTGACAATTAACGTTACATTGTACAGTGCCCTAAACTCTGCAACCCTTTCCTGTTGCATGTGTGTAATGTGCACTGTTTTCTGTGCATAGTTTGTACATGTATCTGCCTTTCTGCAACCAGTGGAAAACTAGTCTTTCAGTAGATACATCTCTGCCCATTGGTTCATGTATTCCTGTCCCCCCTCCAGCCTGGGATGAGTTGGTAGATGCCTATGCTGAGCAGGCCAAGGGATTACTGGATGGAGGGTGTGATGTACTCATGGTGGAAACCATCTTTGACACAGCCAATTCCAAGGTGCAGTAACTGCTGCTGTAATGTAATTCATTTGTGGTGAAATTTTAGGACAGTAGTAAGTAAGGGTCTGAATAGAATTTTATGTCCATAATGGTGATAACAAGTGCTCTTCCAATTCAGGGGAAAATGATGTAAGAGACCAGTAAAAGTGGCCGTAATTATAAGTGGTCCTTATGCAGAGGTGCTCAGTAGGACAGATTTAACTTTGTTGTACTTCATACTGCCAATTTATTTACATAAACTGATGTTTTGTTTGTACTCCTCATGTTTCAGGCAGCCCTATTTGCCCTGTCCCAGCTGTTTGAAGAGGAATACAAGCCAGTACCTATATTTGTAAGTACCAGTCTGGCCAACAACAACAAGACCAGACTCATTGATGCACCCAATGATTGTCATTCTTCTTGTGACCAGAGTGAGGGTAACTTTCTAGCTCTGCATGTCAAACTTGATCAAGATATACAGTTCATTTTTTTTCATTCTATTTGTATATATGTATGTTTGTTTGTTTCAGGTATCAGGAACAATAGTAGATAGAAGTGGTAGAACGTTATCAGGACAGACCTCGGAGGCCTTTGTCATCAGTGTGTCGCAGGCAGAACCCATGTGGTAACTAGTCACACTTGATGGTCAATATGTTAGCCTAAGTGAACAGTAGTTTCAAACATTGTTCGTAATGCAATTTTGAGAATACATGTAGGTGTACTGGTCTGCCTAACCTAAAAATTAAGGTGCACAGAAAACATTTTGGCTGCACAACATAAGATATACTAGTAGTATAATAGAATGTCAGCAGAACATAATTATCTATATTATATACTGGAATGTTAAGAATATGGTGTATACTATTGTGCAATAGTATGCCTACACAAATATCTTGTGAATACATTGTATTCACAGCATTAGTCACTGCCTCCAAAAAAGAAGTTACCCCCCCCCCCCAATAATGAGATAGATCTATGGAATGGACATTTTTTTAGCTCTCTTCACATTATATTATCTTAGCCCTCAGATGTGAGTTTGCAAATGAATGCATTATTACTAAAATTCTTGAGTTATTGTTGTTGTCCCCCCAGTCTTGGCCTGAACTGTGCCTTAGGAGCCACAGAAATGAGACCGTTTATAGAAGCCATCGGCAAGAACACGACATCCTACGTACTCTGTTACCCAAATGCTGGTAGGTGGAAGGAAAAAAATCTTGATATCATAAGCTTGACCTTTATCGTGTCATCTTTACGCCTGTATGACAGGCTTTTGCCCTTTTATTGTTTGATTCATGGGTACTGCATATTACAGTAAAGTTTTATATCATATTGAAAAAAGCAATTGACTAATGATAGACAGATTAAATAAAGGGCAACAGTATTTTAAAAATGATTTTTTACAACCTTGTGTTTTCTTGGTGTACAGGTTTACCAAATGCTTTAGGAGGCTATGATGAGACTCCAGAAATAATGGCAGAACATTTACGAGTGAGTTTCTCTTTTCAAAAAACATTATACATTGTGTGAATTGTGCTATACAGAACATTTCATGGGTGAGTGTTCTCATCATGTGGTTTACATAGCTGTTACAGTATTAACCTACTAGTATATATAATGAGGCAGTCTTAGGGTACACAACAGAGTTATGAGATTTTTGAGAGTTGACCTAGAATATACATAAAGCTTGATTTTTTGATCAGTGAAAACATTTATTTCATTCAGGCATTTTGTGGAAAAGGAAGCAGACTCAGTATGAGTGTTTGTTCTCTCCCACCCTGCCCCAGGTGTTTGCTAAGGACGGCCTGTTAAACCTGGTTGGAGGCTGCTGTGGAACAACCCCTGCACACATCAAGTGAGCTTTGTTTGTAGTTACAGGCTGCATTAGAGAACAATAAGGTTTGATCCAATCACTCCAGGATGGACCCTGATAACTTTTGGGCACCACAACTTGCTGCGATACTCAATAAAACTTAGTGAAACCACCTAAAAACCTAACATGTGCCATGCAGAAATAGAGGTAGTAACCAAGTATCCAAATAAAATGTTGTTAGCAAACATCACTGATTGACATGTGACTTTTCCCTTCACAGAGCCATTGCAGAGGCTGTACGCCCATTCAGACCCAGGAAAGTCCCCTCCGTACTGCACGAGGGGCACATGCTGCTCTCGGGACTTGAACCCATGTATGTTGGTCCGCACACATTGTTTGTGAACATTGGAGAGAGGTGTAACGTGGCAGGCTCCAGGGCGTTCAACAAGATGATCCAGAAAGGGGACTATGAGGTGTGTACCTCCTCCTTTCCCTGGGATGGTTTGGAAATATCTCAGATTTGATTCTATGATGTTGGAGAAAATGGAGTACCTAAGATGTTTATGTCCACATATCCCCTCCCGCCACAGAAAGCCCTGAGTGTAGCTAAGCTGCAGGTGGAAATGGGGGCCCAGGTTCTGGACATCAACATGGATGAGGGCATGCTGGACGGCAAGGCTGCCATGGCACGGTTCCTCAACCTCATCGCAACAGAGCCTGAAATCTGCAAGGTCAGTAACAAACAATATGGTCGCAGGAAGAGCAAAAAGACTTTTGTCTAGTCACCAAAGACAAGGCAATCAGATGTGGCAACTTTACCCCCTTTGCATAGGTTAAAAACACACAAAGACAGACAAACAGAATTGACAAGAAATGTAGTAGTAATCAAGAAGCGGATGAGGTAGTAATCAAATCTTACTGTAAATACAAAATTCCTATTTCTATCCTTCTGATCAGCAAGGATGAGGATAATACAATGTACTGTTATTTGTCCAGTATTGTACTTGTATTTTGACTTTTTGTTGTATTCTAGACTGATTGAACTTAAACCAAAACTATAAGCAAAGCCTTTCTTCTCCACACTGTCACAGGTGCCTTTGTGTATCGACTCGTCTAACTTTGCTGTGATCGAGGCAGGGCTGAAGTGTGCCCAGGGGAAGTGTATCGTCAACAGCATCAGTCTGAAGGAGGGGGAGGAGGACTTCCTGAGGAAGGCCAGGACCATCAAGAGATACGGTGCAGCTGTGGTCGTCATGGCGTTTGATGAGACAGGACAGGTCAGGCCTGGGTGGATTCCTGTCTTTGTCTGTTGTCATGCAAAATAAATCAGGCAACTGGATAAATTCTCTGAAGAGTCAGATGTTTCAGATACAGCTTCTACTGTCTGTCATCAGTGACTGAAAATGAGATGAAGGGTTGTGATTGCTATCTGAAATTCTGACAATAGAGAATTTGTTCAAATGCTTGATTTATTTTGTATCATGTTCTACCTGGATTTCTTACCTTCATCTACAAAATGTATGTGTCTGTAGCAACTGTAGCTGACCAACTGCCAGCTGGTGTAACACACCTTATGACTTGTTCTTAGTCCAACTTGTTCATGGAGCTGACTAGTTTGAGCCATTTTATAACCGATGGTATAATGTCTGTTCTCATGTCCCCAGGCTACAGATGTTGAGCACAAGGTCAAGATCTGCACAAGGTCGTATCGTCTGCTGGTGGACAAGGTCGGGTTCAACCCCTGTGACATCATCTTTGACCCCAACATCCTCACCATAGCAACGGGCATGGACGAACACAACGAGTACGCCATCAACTTCATCGAAGCAACAAGGATCATCAAGGTATTGTAGACAGGTGTCTTGTTAAGGACTTTCTTCTGTGCTGGAGAAGACTCTTGAAGTTAGATTTCTCATCTTCCAAAATTGATAGACCTTCCAAAATTGTAATTAGTGTTGGTCTTCTTCACTCCTGATGCAAAGTAATCCAATTTGGTGTCCAGTGTTTGTACTTGTCACAAAGTGTCCCAGCAGTCCCACAGTGGGCTTTGCAAATGTCTCACGTCTTAATCATGTTATGCTATAAGCAGACCAGTTGTGCTCATGAGCTCTCTATGATCCTGTTAACAGAAAACCTTACCCGGCTGTCGGGTAAGTGGAGGCCTGTCCAACCTGTCCTTCTCCTTCCGAGGCATGGAGCGGATCCGTGAGGCCATGCACAGTGTGTTCCTGTACCACGCCATCAAGGTATGCACCAATCATAGCCTGGATCTGTACAGGACATGCACAGTGTGTTCCTGTACCATGCCATCAAGGTATGCACCAATCATACAGGACATGCACAGTGTGTTCCTGTACCATGCCATCAAGGTATGCACCAATCATACAGGACACGCACAGTGTGTTCCTGTACCACGCCATCAAGGTATGCACCAATCATAGCCTGGATCTGTATCTTAGTCTGACAGGACACGCACAGTGTGTCCTGTACTGGCCTGGATACAGGATATTACCTTCTTAGTTAAAAAGATTAAAAATTGTAACTACATTGGGTTTGTCAGTGACTCTCTATACTGATGGCAAAGATGGAAAGACTAGAAATGCCACCTTATGAATGAATGAAGAGGGTGAGTAATTGACATCAGGGCATTGCTGTATTTTCATTGCTTATTAATATTTTCCCCCCAGGCTGGTATGGACATGGGCATTGTGAATGCAGGAAACCTGCCCCTGTATGATGACATCAATGAAGAGCTGTTGAAACTGTGTGAGGACCTCATCTGGAACAAGGACCCTGAGGCCACTGAGAAAATGCTGGCCTACGCACAGGTAAATGTAGCAACTGCACACAGTTTACACAGGTAGACATAGCAGCTGGCGTTTGTTTTGCCATACTTGAATAATAAATTGAAATAACACAAAATGATTTGGACTTTTCCAAATTTTTATTTGGAGTCTTATTCCTTGACAAAGGGGAGCATTGCACAGTCCAAACTGATGTAATTACAATATACGTGTACTGGGTATATAGGTTGGAGTTTAGAATTTTGTGAATAAACTTTTCTGATAATCAAACAAGTTATGTAAACCATTTACATGTGTTTAACTATGAGAGTTCCCTCCTGTTCCAGGTCCACGGGAAAGGTGCTAAGAAGGAGCAGGAGTCTGAGGAATGGAGATGTCGGACTGTGGAGGACAGACTGGAACATTCCTTAGTAAAGGTTAGTACATGTACGTGTACTGTACCACATCTTGAGTTGCCTTGATATTGGGGTGTGGCAGGTGGGCCAGACCAGCTGATGTTTTATTGTCTGCCCCTGCCCATGTGTCTGTTTTGTCCATCTTGTGTTTCTCCGTGAGGTCTTGGCATCCCCAAGTCTCTGTCCTAAGCCAGGAGTGCTACTGCAGAGTAGTTTCCATTTTATGTCATTGTTTACAGGGTTGAGAGCAGTGGAGGACACAGAAGATCTAGAAATCAGGGCCAAGATATATACATACTTACTTACTTACTTAGGCCCTTTGCCCCTGCCAGGGCATAGGCCACCGATGATGTTCTTCCACTGTACTCGTCTCTGGGCCTTCTTTCTCAGGTCCTGCTAGCTGGTGCTGATGCTCCTCATCTCCTCCTCCGTGTCCCTTCTCCAGCTGTTCTTGGGTCTACCCCTCTTCCTCTTACCCTGTGGATTCCAGGTCAGGGCCTGCTGAGTGATACAAGTGTTGGTTTTCCTAAGCGTATGTCCTATCCAGGACCACTTCCTCTTTAGAATCTGTTCTCTGATGGGTTTCTGACCTGCTCTGTCCCACAGCTCCTGGTTGCTGATTCTGTCCCACCACCTTATCTTGAAGATTCGTCTGAGACAGGTGTTGATGAAAGTCTGTAACCTGTGCTGTGTGGCTCTTGTTGTTCTCCATGTTTCTGAACCATACAGGAGGACTGATTTGACATTAGAGTTGAAGATGCGAAGTTTGGTGGCTCTTTGTATCCCTCTAGAAGCCCAGACCTTCCTTAGCATGAGGAACGCTGCCCTTGCCTTCCCTATCCTTGCTGACACATCTCTGTCCGTGCCCCCTTGCCGGTCGACCACGCTACCCAAGTACACAAAGGCTTCTGTCTCCTTCACCTCTTCCCCTCCAAGATGGATAGATACCCTCTAAAATTGACTGATTGATTGACTGACTGATTGATCCCCTGTGGTTCTTTGCAGGGTATAGACAAGTATGTTGTAGAGGACACAGAAGAAGCCAGGGCCAACTTGGAGAGATACCCCCGTCCCCTCAATGTGATTGAGGGTCCCCTCATGAAGGGCATGAGTATTGTTGGGGACCTGTTCGGCGCTGGCAAGATGTTCCTACCGCAGGTTTGTACCTTGTTGTTACTCTTGTAGTTTTTTTTACTTTATTTTATGACGATTTACCACATTTGTGGAAGGATTGACATAACAGGTGACTATCACCTCTTCAAAGATGTCAACCCCGAGATTGGACTGTAAGGCTTGAACCACTCACACCGGGAAGGTCCCCTACTCTTTTCGATAAGTGCGGTGGGTTCTTTAACGTGCGTGGGGTGTGGCTCTCCCAAACACGGGACCTCCATTTAACGTCCTATCCGAGGGACGTCCCTAGCCGAAGCTAGGTACTCATTTACACCTGAGTGAAGTGAGGAAAGTCGTGTAAAGTGCCTTTCCCAAGGGCACAAGATCGGTGACATGGGCAGGGTTCGAACCCACGACCTCTCGGGTGTGAGCCGAACGCGCTACCGACTGCGCCACACGACCCCACCACCTTTGTGTACAATATTGAAATCAAGTGAGTTTAATATAACCATCATGTTGTTTCTCCCATCTGTCAGGTGATAAAATCAGCCCGTGTGATGAAGAAAGCCGTGGCCCACCTGATCCCTTACATGGAGGAGGAGAAGGCCAAGATTAAGGACCAGATGATGGCAGAAGGGACCTGGGATGAGAACGTAAGGCTTCATCTCCTGTTTTATTGTTTCTCACATATAGACTGGTCTATAGCAGCCATACATGTATATCTATCCTGTTCTAGCTCCAGCTGCAGAATAATCTGGCCCTGTCACATAGAAATGCTTGATCCTGACGTCTTACACTATTCTAGAAATCTAATAGTTCTCATGTAAATGGGTTCGAACTTCTGAATCAGATTTTCGTTACTATTGCAAAATTGTGTCACTTGGAGCCAATCGGAATGCCCACCTACATTTTACAAATGTATATTTTCAATGAATGTCAAAATGCTAATTGTTTTTCCATTAACCTGTGTCAGACTATTCTGCTAGGGAAGAGGATCTGAATGGCATCTAGAATACTGAATGAGGAGCTAGGTGTATAGTGTACCCATGTTAATCCATGCAAGATCACAGAGGCAACATGTTGTTGAAATGACACTCCTTTTAGTCAACATTGGGAGTGATTCCTGGGGGGAGGTTTCACATTCGGAATGGTTTGACACAGTCCTGGTGCAGTGTGCAATGATTGTTCTCTCCTGTAGGCCAAGTACGCCGGGACCATCGTCCTGGCGACGGTGAAGGGAGACGTCCACGACATTGGGAAGAACATTGTCGGCGTCGTGTTGGGCTGTAACAACTACAGGTGAGAACTCTTCACAGTGCTGGCTAGAAGTCTGGAATGTTTGTAGACTGTGAGTTTATGATCACTGCATCAAACATGTCACAGCAAATGTTTGTTCTTGTCCTTGTAAAAAAAGTTAACTTACATTACACGTACGTTGCTGTCTGTCTCTGGACCCAACTTCGTTCCCCTTGAAGGACAAAAAAAAAATTCATGAGTTGTAATACCCAAATCTTTTTTTCCTCAGGGTCATTGACCTTGGGGTCATGACCCCCTGCGAGAAGATCTTGAAGACGGCTGTGGAGGAAAATGCAGACATCATCGGGCTGTCGGGTCTGATCACGCCCTCGCTGGACGAGATGATTTTTGTTGCCAAGGAGATGGAGAGGGTGGGGCTGAAACTCCCGCTGCTGATTGGTGGAGCCACCACGTCAAAGTATGTCATGTGACATGGGTTATATTGTGTGAAATATGATGACGAGGTTTCCTGGGGGGTCCTTCATTTAGCAAACTGAAGTAGTCATTTGGCTACCAGATCCTTATAAATTTCTTACATCTTACAGTAAGAAGGAAGAAAATACACAACCTTTGTAGTTCTGATCCTAATGACTTGATAGTTTATTGCAAGTAGATGTCAAGTCTATTTATACATTGCACAACAATGTATGTGTGAACTGTCAATATTGACTTGTAAACTTCAACGTAAATTGTACTAGGATGGACAGTAGGCCTAAGTAAGTAACAGGTAACTCAATGTCCATTTCTTTCCTTACTGATACAAATGTACATTGTAACTCAATGTGTGTCCACCTATAGGACCCACACAGCAGTTAAGATTGCACCGCGGTACAAGGAGCCAGTCATCCATGTGCTGGATGCCTCCAAGAGTGTTGTAGTGGTAAGTTCAGCTGCCTTAATCGGGCAATACCAACCAGATTTTGTGTGCTACATCCTATGATGGTCCCTAATCTGAGGAGTGTTGTGTTGCTGTATGTTTTCATAGTTCATTTTCAACAAAACTTAATCAGCACAAAGCTTTGTCTTTCATCAAGCAGCCACTTCTGCCTGTAGTTCCAGCATACATGTAGGTGACACTCATAGTTACTGACCCCTCTGTTGTTCTCAGTGTTCTGCCTTAATGGACGAAGACCAGAAAGAGGACTTAACTGAAGAGGTTGCTGAAGAGTACGAAGAAATAAGGGAAGAACATTATGACTCTCTTAAGGTATTTAACAATTTTCCCTATAGATTCCACCCAATCCTTGATTACAGCAAATTTTGTACTTACTGTATTACTTTTTTTGCTTACATTAAGTTTTCATTTAGTTGCTGACTGCAGAGCTCTGTTTTCCCATTTCTTGTGTGTTTGTAATTTCAGTAGGTTTTGTGTACAAAAGGCAAGCTGCATGTAGAGAGCACATACATACATAACATTAAACCATGCCTGTTTTTTTTTTTTTCAGGACCGGAAATACCTTCCTATTGAAAAGGCAAGGGCCAGGAAACTGGAGGTGGACTGGGCCTCATATGAAGCAGGTAATGAAGGATAAGTATGAGTGGAAATGCATTCTTCTTCAGTTAAGCTCGAAGCATAATGCATTGACCAAGGGGAATGTAGGTTCTTATTCTTACTAAAATAGGAAACTGACATGTAATTCATTAACAATGTGGTACATACATTTGTAATAGTTATGTGAATAACCCTTATTGTGTTGCCCAGTGCGACCCAGTTTCACAGGAACCATGGTGTTTGATGACTACGACCTGAGCCGCCTGGTAGACTACATTGACTGGAAACCCTTCTTCGATGTGTGGCAGCTCAGAGGGAAGTACCCCAACCGGGGCTACCCCAAGATCTTCAAGGACAAAACTGTCGGTAAGGAGCTTACTTTAAGTACAGGTAGTGTAGAAGAATTTCAAATAGGCTACCCCAAGCTTTTCAAGACCAAGACTGTCGGTGAGGAGGTTCCTTTATAATGATGCACACTCCAGGTTTGAGTTTACATTGCACATAATATGCTTCATGGCTGAAAAGTGTAAGAAGTGGTGAAAATTGATTTTGGGCTTTAACCTTACATCTGGCTGTGCTTCCACGTGGAAATAAGTTCAGAAAAAATAACCATTCAAAGCAGTTGTCAACACATCCTTTCAATGCATCTGTTTGTATCAACATTTTTCCAATGGATCTCGTCACATAAAGCTGAATGAGTCAAAAATATTTTTTGTTAGATCTAAGATAACAGTTAATTTTAAATTGTATTCAATTTTTACAGAATATTAATAGGAACATCACCAAGTACATGTATGCAATGAAATACCATTGGCATGTATCTGGTATATCCTGGTTCCTTTTTTTTTACAATGTACTAGTACACATTGTACATACACTAAGAGTCAGTGTTAAGGTAGTTCCTTCACATGGACCAGGTTAAACCAGTTTTCTTGTGGTTTAAATTACTGACAAATTGTTGGTTGTCTCTGCCTGGGATGAATGTCCATCTCTATCAGTCACAAGCATTTAAGTATTTAACAATGCAAATTACACAAGTATTAATAATGCAAATTACACGTGTAGGCCAAATGAGTTTCTCAAAGCCACAACAGCAACACCAAACCATCTAAATTTATATATCATTTTGCCTGTAAGTTGATTTGATTGCTATGAACATGCAGCATATTTTTGAGAAATCAGTTTCTGTTACAATTATCAGTTCTACAAACATCAATGTCAATGAATAAACAGAGCTTTGGCTGATCATGATTGTACAGTGCTCATCACAAAGGAATTTTCATTTTTTTCTTTTTTTTCTCTTATTACATTCCCAAAAAACTCCAATCAGCATATATCCAATCAGCATCTGCCTTTCAAATAGGCTTTGCCCCAACTTTTACAGCTATTAGATGGATATAATACATCAATGATTGATAGCATGTACTACTAGTATGTCTAGTAGATGTGCAGTGGCACAGATACATATATTACAGTAGTAATTTTTCATGGACATCACATGAATAAAATTGAGGGGTGTTTGACCTTCTAGATGCTAGTCAACGTTGTTATTTTCATAGACGTGCACATTGTCATAAGCGTCTGCTGGCTTGCCTGACATTAGTGCATCAGTACATGAGGTACATTTACTGTGTGGGGGAGGCTGGGCACTAGTACATTTGCTGTGTGGGGGTAGGAGGGGAGGTTCATCTTGAGGGGGTCCAGCTGGGACCTTCTCTTCCACAGGTTTCCCTGGACCTGCACATGCAGATCTGGTGCTGTTTGGTTCTGATCTCATACCTATGTACAGAGTTTGTCCCACACCTGTGTACAGGCTGTGTAGTGGCTGTGAAACAGATGGAGTTGTGGTGTATGTTGGATTTTTAACATCCAAGGATTGAGTAACAGCCTGATACGGGCCCTGCCTTGTCTGATCATGACCACTAATTATTTCTGTGGGTTTTGTGTCGGGTTCAGCATCAGTGATGGCCGGACACTGACCCTGCCCTGTCTGGTTTTGTTGGTTCATATATTCATTGTTATCATGACCACTAGCTACATGTATCACAGCAGCTGTGGTGTTTGTATTGGTTTCATAGATGGCCTGAGACTTGCCTTGCCCTGTCTGACCATGATGGTTGTCAATATCTTCATACTGGTGGTCATCACCACTGGCCATTTCTATAGAAGTTTGTTGTTCTGCATACATAGGATTTTTATTTACTGCTAACACCTTCTTCTTATTTAATAGATTTCCAGCTTTCAAAGATTGAGTTTTAGTCTTACCCTGCCCAGTCTGGTCATGAAGGTTGTCAATACATGTATCTTCATACTGGTGATTATCACCCCTGGCCATTTCTGTAGCATACATAGGGTTTTGCTTCAATGCAGCTAACACCTTGTTACTTTTTTCTAGTTTTACGATTTCCAGCTTTCAGAGATTGAGTTTTTAGTCTGATCCTGCCCTGTCTCATCATGATGGTTGTCAATATCTTCATAGTGATCATCACCATCGGCCATTACAGTACAGGGGTCGAAATAACCCTCTGTGTGCAACTTGGTGCAAGTAGATTTGGTGTCGTGCAACTAATTTTTTGCCTGCTTGCACCATGGTGCAAGTTTGCTTTATCCACTGTTACTACCTGTAGAATTACCCAATAATAATATTTTTTTTTTTTATTAATTAATAAAGAACTGGAGTGGAAAGGAACAAAACCAGAATCCATGAAGTTTTTCTTCATTTTTTGTAAGTAACAGAAGGTTACTATCTACGTCGCTGCCAGCGGATGTTTCCCATCACTTCTGTATTTTTGGAGGGTGCAACTATTTTTCTTCCGGTGCAAGTATTTTTCTTTTCATTTGCACCAGTGCAAGTTGGCCCCAAAATCTATTTCGACCCCTGCAGTAGCTGTGCCATGAGTATTGATTACAACAGCATTGGGATTTTTGGCCTGAGGGAGGATTCCCTGGTCCTCCCCTTGCACCTAATGATGAGAATGATACTGCCAATCAGAACTAGAGCTACTGGACCACAGACTGCGACAATAGGAATAGATTCATGGGAACTGCCTGAAGTAACTACAAGGGGTGTAGTGGAGGTTTCTTTTGTTATTTCTATATGGTGTGGCTTTGAGCCATCATCGGTTTTGAAGTACCAGTGGTAAGTTGAGGTGGTCGAAGCATGAATATCAAGAGGCAGTTTTGATATGGTGGTCTCTTCACAAGTCAGATTTTCAGGATTAATATTTATGAGCTTTTGTCCACAAAGGCTGGCAGGTTGTTCACAAGTTATCTGGTTTTCAAATGAAGCAGATCCAGTCATTTTCAGCCTGAAGGGAACCATCCTACAGTCACACTGCCAGGGGTTTTTCTCCATAAGTACCCATCGAATTGCCGAGAAAATGTCATGAGCAGACGGGGGTAGGACAGGTATCTGGTTGTCGTCTATGTCCACTGATTTTAACCAGCCATTGGATATTGCTGGTTGGAGGAAAGTGAGTGTATCTGGTTGGATGGAAGTTATATTGTTGTAGGACAGGCTCAAGGAACAGAGCCTGGGTAGATTACAAAATATGTCTGGGTGGATAGAAGTTATCTGGTTGTGAGTCAAAGTGATCCCATCGAGATTGGTTAGATTGGAGAATGCACAAGTTCCGAGGTCTACTATCTTGTTACGAGACAGGCCCAAGTAGAACAGCTTATCATGATTTGAGAATGTACCAGGTTTAATGTGAGTTATCCCATTTTCTCTCATGTTCAAAGATCCAAGCTGGGGTAGATTTGATAACACATCAGACGGAATGCTTGTTATCTGGTTAATGCTCAAATCAAGCTGCTGATGGATTTGGAAGGTTCTGGGGAAAGCTGGTTATTCTATTATTTGTCAAATATAAAAAAGAGATGTTTCTTGGGAGGCTTTGAGGAACGCTGGATAGGCCCAGCCTCCCACAGTTGCAGCAAGGAGTCACTGGTGTCCATGATTTCGGGTTACGTGTAAATATGCAGCCTGTGGATATTGAACAGCTGCATTGGGCTTCTGGCATGTGGACTTCCTTCAGGATGAGGAGAAGGACAATCAGCATGTGTCTCTGCTCTTTTGTCATGTTGTCCTGCTACCTAAACAGAACAAGGAGTTGGATAAATCCACCCGAGTGAGCCATTGTAACATGACACACAGTCACTCACCGTCACGTTTCTTTAGGCTGAGAAGCATAGCAACTTGAAAGCTCATGGCAAGTGGAATTGTCATTGCTTTAACATGCTGTCATGAATACATGTATGTAACTATCAGGCTTACACGTCATCTAATCTTTAAAATCATAAATGTCTTGATGTTTTATTGTCTGGGGTGGCAACTTGGTAAAGGTGTGTACACCTGTTTTGCCATCCAGCTCATTTTTTCATGTTAAATCGAAAGCACATAATCAATATAGATAATACTAGTAAGCAGCTTGAAGTCTTACCATAAAAACGTGACAAGGATATGTGAAAAAGAAACATTCTGAACTGAAGACATTATGAAACATAGGGCTGGCCTGCAGAAAATAAGTGCAAGTTACATGAAGTAGATACGTTTAACTTTGATAATTGTGCTTCAGAGAAGATGGAAAGTCACTCTGATGTGGCCTTTACAACTGCAATGTTTTGGGCTATGAAGAAACCACCTGCCTGTGTGATGAATTTACACATGTACATAACAAGTGACATAATGTAAATAAAGATTATCCAAACTTACCATTCAGTCTAGCCAGAATGAATATCTTCAGTCAGCATCTTCTTGCCAGGAAGATAAAACGAGCTGCCCATGTCACCATTGTGCATGTAGGATATGTGCTTCAGTTACTGTAGCTGATCCGTAATGCAGTGTGACAAACAGTTTTGATGTAGTCTTATTTATATGATGGTGTTGATTGTCTGAAGCCGGGTATTTGCATATAATGACCAATACCCGGTAGTCATGATTTGCTTAAAATTTTGCAGACTTGCATGGTATTGTTTGTTTGTTGAGCTGTGAATTTTGCCATCTTCAATATTTAGGAAAATATGCAATTTTGAAGATAGTGAATATAGGTTGAAATCTGCATTAAAATCTTATAATCATTATTGTTAAATGTGACTAAACATTGTTTGAAAAATGTACATGTACTCTCAAGGCTGTATTGATATACATATACATAGTGTATGTTTGGTATATTGATTGTCTGAATCTGCCAATTTGAATAGTAATATTGAACAGGTTGTTTACTACTTACATGTATTGCCTTTTACACCTTTTGCTGCTCTCTGGTGAGATTTACAGGAAAGAAATCAAAATCACTGTGAAAAAGTGTACAGGATGTTAAGGTGTTCTATGTATTTCTTGGTTCATACCTTAATCCATGTTGGTTCATACATGTACCTTAATTCAGCTTATCTTTAAGGCCATACCAATAATTTGATTACTTGGTTCTCATAATTTTGCAGAAAATTAAAGACAAAAATGAAAGAAAGCATCCTGTAGTGCTATAAAACCTGAATACTACTATCGAGGGACGTAATGCATTAACATTTAATAGCAAAGGTAAAAATTCAACAACTAGGAAAGCAAGGACTTTCCCCAGCTGGCTCGCTACTGGAAAGGGTCACAGTCCTTTGGATGAGACCTGTTGTGGTCCACTGTTCATTGCACTTGTCAAAAACATCTGGTCTAAGAGGAATAGCTGTTTACCTATCATGGGCTCTCTTGGAAATCAGCCCCGTTCAGACTACCCTGATGTACTCCGGATTGATAGATAGATAATACTGGATCAAGATTGGACTGCATGTTGAGATGTAACTGATTGGTGTTTCTTTGTTTTATTATATCTGTAATTTATCTATTTCCTATGTTCCTGTGACAACCTAAACCTTCAACTGGCCCTCTGGGAAGAGCCGACAGAGCATTCCAGTCAAAATAAAGTATATTGACTGATTGATTGATTGATTGATTGATTGATTAATTCTCCCCTGCAGGAGAGGAGGCAAAGAAGGTGTATAACGAAGCTCAGGCGATGCTGAAGAAGATCATGTCGGAGAAGCTGCTGACGGCGCGGGGTCTGCTCGGATTCTGGCCGGCCTGCAGCGTCGGGGATGACATCCAGGTGTTCCGCGAGGACAGTCTGCCGCGGGAGGGCATCCCGCTCGCCACGTTCTACGGGCTCAGGCAGCAGGTGGGGCACTCTTCTGCAAACAAACTTAGCCGTACCTTTGCCTTGTCAGACATTGTGACATAAGAAAAAAATGGAATAAGATGAAGAGTATCATTTTTAATCACCTGTTGCAGATTTGAACTGATACATTGTACATGTAGGTCTCCTTCCTTGTCATTCAGCATGGCATTTTTAAAACATACTGGTATTTTCCCTGCGCTTGTCCAGGCTGAGAAGGAGCCTGGCGTTACGGACCCTTACCTGTGTCTGTCGGACTGCGTCGCTCCTAAGGAGGCCAGGGTACGAGACTACTGCGGACTGTTTGCCGTTTCGGTGTTTGGAGCGGAGGACATGTGCCAGAAGTTCAAGGCTGATCACGATGACTACAATGTCATCATGGTGAAGGCCCTGGCAGACAGGCTGGCTGAGGTAAGACTTTTAACTTTCTATACTTACTGTGCCAGGGCTACAATGTAACCCATAACCCACGTGAGTGGTTCAAACCATACACAACCTAACGGCTACGTTACGTAATGACCACCAAGTAAAAAAAAAATGTAAGGTCACTAGTACATGTAGGTATGTTACACCATACTGGTCGTGTGACATTTTGACATACAGTGTACATACATAGCAATCACTGCCTGAGGCTCCATATGTATTGTGTTGTACAATTCAGAAAAGTTACTCGTCACTATACTTTTAGTAGTAAAACAGGTCAAACATGACCAGAGTGCACCTTACCTGGTTAAAAAATTCTGTTTTCAAATTGTGCTCTTTGCCGGTGTTAACAGCCTCCTGCCCTGTTTGCAGGCGTTTGCGGAGGAGCTGCATGAGCGTGTGCGGAGAGAGTTCTGGGGTTACTCACCTGAGGAACTCCTGGAGACCAGCGACCTGCACAGGGTCAGATACGAGGTCAGTAGAAGGCAGTCTCCAAGCAGATGAAGCAGTCAGGGTTATATTTTTTTTTGCTGGCTTAAGCAGTGGCAGATTAGCTCTTTAGTAAGCTAAATATTATGCTGGATCCGTTTTTCTCCAGGGCATCCGTCCTGCCCCAGGCTATCCCTCCCAGCCGGACCACACGGAGAAGCTGACCATGTGGGAGCTCGCCGACATCGAGCTGGCCACCGGCATCGTGCTGACCGAGTCCCTCGCCATGGACCCCGCCGCCTCCGTGTCGGGCCTCTACTTCGCACATCCCAAGGCTGTGTACTTCGCTGTGGGCAAGATTGGCAAGGATCAGGTCAGGCAGCTGCTCTCACAGCCACAGCAAGTTATTGTGTTTGTTGGTTCTTATCAACAAGAACACATAGTCTGAAGGGAAAGTGGGTACCTTGTACACAGAATTTCGGGGGTGAATGTAGTCAGAAGAAAGTTTTCTTCCCATCAGTCTGTTTTTATCTTGTTCTCTTGCAGGACTTTAGTCTAATGTGTCTAAGAACCAATGAAGTCAATAGATGATGAGAGAGCGTCTCCAATTGTTGTAACTTTTGGTGTTATTATCCTTGATGATGTCAAAAGTAATGATATCATTATCATTTCACAGGTTGAGGACTATGCCAGAAGAAAGAAGATGGAAGTACCAACTGTGGAGAAGTGGCTTGGACCCAACCTGTCGTATGAGACAGACTAACTAACACACACCTGGTACAAGCAAGGGATCCACCAGGGTTCTGATTTATTACCAAGTACACAATGTACTTCTTAAGGAAAACCAGTCTACTGTAAATTCATTTATTTCTACAGGGACTTAATTTTGCAGTAGGAGTGGAAAGGAGGTTTTCAGTTCACCGTTGAAACAATTATACCCTACAGAAGTAATACAATGAAAATACATGTATGCAACAGTCCAAAGCCAGGATATATCTTCACTTGTAAGGAGGGACAACAGCAATAGATGACACATCTTTTTGTTCTGAACCATGCTGGCATGACATCTCACTCTGGCTAGACACAAGTGTGTAATGTGGTTCTTTTTCTTTTAAAAACTTTATGATGTTTGTTTATAAGTAGGTCTGAAGGTTCACCTTCAGTTTGTCTCTTTCTATACTTCGTCACTGTCTATCTTTTATACAGATGAATTACGATTTTTGTACAAAATTAATGAAAAGCTGTAAAATGTGCTTATTTGGTTATGAAAAGAGAGAAAATGATGTTGGAAAAACATGGATAGAAATTAAATTCCTGAAGATAGATGTAGATGTTAAGTAGAAAGGGTGGTGTTGGGTTTTCAGAATTCTGGATTGATTTATTGTTATTAAACAAACATGCTGCTATATTTACAAGGAAACATGCATCAGTACATACATGTAAGTGGTAAAGTCCAAGCAGATGTTGGGATGGAAGATTATATCGTTTTCAGGCTATCAAGAAAATGTTACAATATTCCATCCTAACAACAGCTAGGAGGCTACAAAAATGGCACTATAACCATGTGGTGGGGTTTGTTCATGTACATGTACATATACTGGTGGGTACTGTGTGTAACTGTTGAACATAACAGGTATTACACTTGTCTCTGAACTATTTATGTTCTGGTGAATACATTAAAAGGAGGATCAAAATTTATGAATGGGCATTTATTTTGATCATTATTCTGTTTAGTAATCCTTTCCCCTAGGAAGATATAATTTAATGTTTGACTTACATTTGATGGTGAAAAGCATGGGTTAGTTACACCTTACACTGTAGTAAGTCATCTCTGTGCAGAGCATGACAATAGAGACTGAAACCCACACAAAAGAGGACAGGGAAACTTGACCCAGATGTGCAAAAGAATGCTAACCAGACTGAATAATGAATGAATGAATGAAAGACCTTTATTGTAAGGGTATGTTTAATGTCATGCTTAATGCCATACAGCCCAGGGGACTATGAAATGAAACATTTACTGTAACTGAAATGTCCCACTGGGGTTTTGTACATCAATCAAAAACTACTGTTTATGGAGTATCAGTATGCAAAAATATCAAATGATGTAAGGCTTTTTTAATCTTCTTACTGTAGATACACTGTATGTGCTTATATGTAACTGTGATCAAATAATTTTTGTGCTCCGAATGATTTGCAGTTCTGATGCTTTTTAAAGTAGGGAAATGCGGCTAAGCTTCGGTTCGCGTTTACATCCCTGCACATCGGGTCACCCCACTCTTCTGGATATGTGAGTTTTTCTTCGGTGCCATGGTTACAGGATACAGGTTGTCTCTGTTCCTGGCGTACAGCAGAACAGGTGGCCATACTTCATGCCTGTACAGCCCTCAGAGAGATTGATGAGGTCATTCGGCAGTAATCAGCCGTTCTGTTGCCATGGAAACAGCAATTAGGACAGATCAAATTCCGATTATTGCAAATCCAGAATTGAAGGCAACAGGCCCTTTATACCGAGGTTGTCATATGTGTTGGGTATCCATGGCGTTTGTTGTGTTGTTGTAAACATCTCTTGTGTACACCACTCCTGACACTGTTCTGGCCTGTTGAACCCTCGGGGAGGGTAGCGGTAATCCGCCAGCGCCCATGGACGTCATGTTTGTCCGGTTATCCCCGGTAATCCCCGATCCCCGCAGACTGCGCACGATCCGGGGATTTCTATTCAGCGCGTCTCCCCCACCCGCGGCTGCCCGCCCGTGCCGTTAATGTGTTACCGGCGCACAATGGGAGTTTTACAGGCTAATCTCAACCTAAAACCAACAGGAGCGCCCCGGTGACGCGCCTAGAACCGCTAAGTGATGCAGAAAACAAATAGTTGCTTTTGACGAGTTGTTCTTTGTGCGGTGCGATGTTGCAGTTTGTAGCCGATGGTTGTGTAACACCGGTCTGGAGGAAGTGTTACCTAAGGCGACTCTGGAAGATGCATCAGTTAACTATTACGTCAACTTTTACCGTACAAGACGTATTCTTTCAGTTGTGCGATTTTAAGACCCGGCCGTCGACCTGGATCGAGGACAGTATTTTCCGTCACAAGACAACTGAACTTTGTACGACACATCACGACTGTCCCAAGTATTGCATCAAGTTGCTGTCGTACACCTGACGTCCGACGTTTGTGAGGGGCTATTTTAAGTTCTTTTGAGAGCTTTGGAACCTTCATTTGATTTTGGAAACCTGTTATGTCGAGCGTCGTCGGCGTTTCCGGTGTACTGGACACGCAAAGAACTTTGCTTCCTGAAAACGGAGTCTTTGTGCTCTCCTCGTCAGCGCGTGTGTCTACTACCATGCTCACCGCGAGGAGTTCATGTTCTTGAGTCACGGCCAGAAGTCGGACTTTCAGCTACTGACGTACAGGTGCATGTGGCAGTAGCACACCTGCTGTACAGGTGCACGTGGCAGTATCAGATATGTACAGATGCATGTGGCTGTAGCATGCCTGTCGTACAGGTGCATGTGGCTGTAGTACACCTGTCACACCGGTACATGTGTCAGTAGGCGTACAGGTGCATCTGACACTAACACACCTGGTTTTACTGACTCGCTTGTCGGCTACCATGGCGGAGGACCAGAGCTTCTCGGCGCTCCAGTCGACCCTCTGGCGGGAGGGGACGTTCAGGGTGGTGTACTGCCCGCGGAACGAGCCGGTGCCGACCGACCCGGACCTGACATACGAGGTGAGCGTGAGCGAGTACCGGGGGCTGTACGCGGACCTGCGCGCGGCCAGGGAGCAGGTGCACCGCCAGGACGGGGAGATCGCCCGCCTGCGGCAGCAGAACGGCGCGCTGACGGACGAGCTGCGGCACCTGACCGAGCTGCTGAGGAAGGCTGAGACGGAGAGGGACGGATATCTCAGGGACCTGAACAACCTGTGGGACCTCAACACCGACACCGAGGTGAGAACACTTCTTCTTTCTCATCTATCTGTTATAAGCTTGTGTCGGGAGCGGGGCTGGAACAGACCCCTGTCGCGGGTTTGATTTGACAGGCGTGAATCGAATTTGATAGCTACTCGGTCACGATATCGATATCTGCCTGGAGGTTAATAATTCCGTGGTTTGTTTAAACTCAAACATCCAAGAAGATACATGGCCTCGAAATGTTTTATACAGAAGTCTTTGCAGAAGTCTTCACATCTGCTGGAGATAAGTTTTCATATCGATTCAAATGCTACGTCTCCAAATGTTTAAGGATACTGAAACGGTTCTCCCAAACTTCCTCCGACATAAGTCATTGTAAGTGTGAAAAGTGCGTTTTAAAATCGCAAGTATAACTCCTCCGGGCAGAGGTCGGCGGTCGTGCTAACAGTCCCGCCTGTTGTTGTTCCTGCCTGGCCTCACGATCTGTCACTCACAGCCGAGCAAATACAACCACCAAGGCAATAGTGGGAGGGAAGATCGTACTGTTCTTTAATATGTTATATGACTGGCACAGAATGCTCGGTAATATTGTTGCGATCTTCCCTCTTGACATACACATCAGGTTGAAGATTACGGGAAATGCTGTATAATCCTACCGGAACAAAGAAACGCGAACACGGGTAAAACGTACAAAATTCCTAAACAGCCGTACAAAATGTCCCCCAAAACGTACACAATGCCTAAAGAAGGCATGTAAAGCAACCCGGAGCTAAACTCCTGATCAGAGATTAGTACCATAATAGTAGTGTCCAAGTATACTGTACGTTGGTATCATATTCAGCATAATTGTTAGTAGCAATTTTAACGTTGTACGTACACGTAGCTTTTATATAATATATGCATTATTACGCTCTAAAATATTTTAAAGAATCGTGTCGCATTTTAACCATTGTATGTGTAATTTCGAAATTTTAATGTGTATATCAGTAATTCGTGTCGTCGTGAGTACCGTCCCACGGTGACCACTTTGTATATTTGTTATTTTGGTCAAGGGTAATTAATTTTTTTAACTAATTAGCACATTGTAGTTACAACCAATTCAGGGCCTATGCCCTGCGAGATGTAACATGTGCAAGACGAACAATAAACCAGTATTATTATTATTATTACCTTGTTGCGTACATACATACGAGTACATAGCATGGATTTGATTATCTACCAATTTGTCCTTCGTAAAACCACTTGAAAGCTGCCGCCACAGGTTTCTCCAAACATACTGCCCGGGTAATGTCCCCGTTTGTCCACGTGTGTTTCTTGTCGAGTGCTTGTTTCTCCGTGTCCTTGGAGACGGGCGCGAGGAAAGACGCTGAAGGGAGGACCAAGTAAATTATTTATATATACCGGCTTCTTAAGTGTTTTACGTACTGCTGCTTGGAGATCGTCCTACAATATTTGTTATCTTTAAGACATTTGCTATCTAAAGCCCCTGTCCTAGATTCAGGACCTTCCTACGACTAAGTCCCGACACGGTCAGTGCTGGGTTTGGTTATGGCGCTCCAAAACTGAAGCCTGGTTTAATCCTATTCCTGCTCATGTTTGCTCTTAGATCTTCTGACCGCATCGAAGCATAATATGAATTTCGAGTTCCCGACTTTGGCACAAACGACCAACACACAACAACAAATGGCCTTGCTCACGACTCCGACAGGCCATGGTCGGCTGTGTGTGACAGGGGGCCTTCGATAAGTCATATTCCATGCAAGGCTGTCCTTAATCTTCAAGCTGATGTATGGCACTGACTTCAACTTGTTTTGTCTTTTCGCGGCGTTTTGTAACGTTACCTCTTTATAATGGTGCGCCGGGCCGATATCTGTTTTACAGATTACAGAGAGATTATACTAGGATGCTTTCGTTTTTGCTAAATCCGGTTAAGAATCAGTTTTGGAGCGCCAGAACGTATTGGTTTCTATTAGAGTTCTGATGTCTTATTTCTTTTCCAGGGTACTGACGGGGAGAGCGAGGGCAGTCCGGAGCTGGGGACAGCCGAAGAGCCACAGGGGTCCAGGCGGCCCTCGTTGGCGGCGAGAAGACTTTCTGTCGCGTCGAGAAAAATCTCAGACGGGTCGGAGGACAATGAGAAGAAACAGGGACTGGCGAGTGACTTCCTGGGAACATCCAACGCGAACGCGTCAGTCAAGAGTCCGGAGAAAATCAAGCGCGCCCTTAAAGCCAGCTACGAGAAGAAGAAAAATAAAGAAATCGCCAAAGTCGAGGCAAGCTACGAGAAAATCATCAGCCAGCTACACAAGGAAAGGGAAAAACTACAGCAGCAGTTCAACAAAGACAGGGACAAACTTAAGACCCAGATTAAAGACATGACTAAACAGCTGCGCAGCAGGAAGGCCGAGAAGATCGTGTACACGGAGGTCCCCAGACACGTGACGGCTGACGTCGTGACGCAGACGGACTGGGAGAAGCGTGACGTGTACGAGGCGGTGAGGACGGTCGTCGCGCAGGCCAAGGAGCTGAAGAAGGAGAAGGCGGAGATGGCACGGGAGAAGGACAAGGCGGCGCGCCAGTTCGAGCGCAAGATGGACGTCTTAAAGACGCGCCAGAAGGAGCTACTGCAGACTAAGGTCTCCCTCGAGAAGGACGTCAAGGGCCTGCAGAGGAAAGTCGCGTTCTACGAGGCGCGCCAGTCGTACCGGAACCGTGCCCTGCCGTCAGTGTCGCCGGAGAGGGGGGTGGGGGGCATTGAGACAGGGGTGGGGAGCGTCGCGACCGGTAAGAGAGATTCCTTCGTGGAGGAGAATCTATTAGAAGGAAGCAGACGGAACTCCATGAGATCCATGTCTGTGGTTTCAGCAGATAATTCTGACAGTCCCGGCACAGACACGTTTCCCTCTCCGACGCAGCCCCATGGCACAGATAATGTTAAAGGGAACAGCGGCGTTACGTTACCCAGACTTCCGCTAACCAGTGTCCAAGTCCAAAACAATGCCTCACCACGAACTAAGGAAGCCAGAGGAAAGTTTGCAGCGACGAGATTCCCGCCACATCCGCAGCCTGTCAAACCGACGGTTGCCGTGGCAACGAACCAGCAGGTTGCTAGGCAACAGATGAGTAAGTACAGGTACCAGCAGAGAAAGTCGTTCGACAGCAGTCCGAGTAAACAAGGAGTTATCCGGCTGGCGGACAGCGAAGCCGCGCGACGGCACAACGGCAGGAACGTTCTCAGACCACTGTTAAACTCCAGTCAGAAGGACAGGCACTAGCCCTCCCCACCTGCCTGCCACTCAGGTGACAGGTGAGATGAAGCACCTGCGATGTCTCGACTCCTTCTTACAGAAGAGCGCCATGTCACTATGTGCAATCATACACAACTGCAATGTAATATGGAAAGTATGGCGCAGGGCAACCAATGGTGGCTGGCCTCACCCCCCCCCCTCAGAGGGCTGAAGCCCTCTAGCAGGACAGACTAAAACTGTACCAGCTACCCATCAGAGCTGTCAGAAAATGTTACAATCCTCGATCCAACATCTTGGAGATCAATACACTTCACTGCACGACACTTCACTGCGCGGGACGCATGCGCAGGTAAGTAACAATGTGTCCTCCCGACTAACCGGACAAACGTTCCAACAGTACAGCTTTATTATTGTGCTATTGTCACAAAAAGGGTGACTTTTTTTAGAAAGGGATTGAAAACAGAATTGTTTCGGCAGGGTGTGAGAACCACTGTAGACTGACCTGTTGGATCGGTTGGTTCCTGTCTAACGTCTGAGTGCTCTTAGCCTAAAATGATCCTCAAGCAGATGTAATGATCTCGCTTAATTCCGTTTGACGCTTTGTTGCAACATTTTTAAAAACTTTTCTTTAGTGTATGTATTCTGAAAGAGGAAGTTCAACTATTCAACACTGGAAAAGCACTACACACTATAGCTAGTTTTCGTCTTCATCAAGTGCAGCTGGTCGCGCGCGGTCGACTACTTTTTATTCTTTTCCCAGCATATTTTGACGCCCTTTACATCGAATCTATGTGATTTATTGTCAGTAAAACTTGAGAACAAAAAGCTATACATGAAACTTTATTTAGGGGGATAAGCTAGGGGGATGGGTGTTTGCGGCATCACTAGGTTGTAATCACAGGTTGCCAGGACGAGACGGAGACGGCGTTGGTCTTCGCAGCTGCAGTACTCCGTAATATCAGAAGATGACGTTGTTGATCAAAAATGGTTTGAAAAAAAAACAGTCATGATCAGGGCCGAGTCTCGCGCGTCCCTGAGATGCCGCGTGCCCACTGCGGTTACCCGGGTACAGACGTGTCCGGATTACTGTCCAGTCCATCAATTATACATGGCGATTACAGGACGGATTATCTCCCACTCATTAAACGTCATTAATCTCAGGAAAAGGCTGAGAATCCGGCTCAGTGGCATAACACTAATCTCCAAGCAGATGTGTGTCCGGCTTTTCTTGTTTTGTTTTTCGAACGGTCTGTTTTGAGTCCCGAACAAACATGACGCTGACGTCAGAACCTGAGCTCGCCATACCGCTTCACTCTGTTTTTGTTTGTTTATTCTCAAGGTAAATCAGTGTTCGCTTCTCGGTCAGGAACTACGTCATCGCCCCAGAGGCAGGTTTGTTGCCTCTACGCAAATATCTCATCTCCAAACAGATGTTGGGAGGGAAAGTAGTTACAATACATACCTAACTTATATCCAAAAGCCGAACATTTACGTCAAGAAAAAAAATCATTTAGAGTGAAGGGTGCTCTATCAGTTGGCATACATACTGTGACGACCAAATTCATAATGTTTGTATCTCGACCGGGATCGATGAACCCATAGATCTGTTTTGTCCGTTGGCGTCTTTCTCCGTAAACCTACATATCCATAACACTATCCGCAACTTGTCTCTAAACTCCAAATATCTACAAATCTTCTGAAATAAAATTATGTAGAACAAACGAATGATTTTCAGAACTCGTAGCCAGTGTTAAACCATTGACCCTATAGAAGGCGCACGGGTACCAGTGAGTCATCGATACATGAAGCAGTTTTGTAAAGAATGCTGTCAAGGCATTACATGACTCAACGGCCACTTGTAATAAGAAACAGGTATTGAGTATAACATGCGCGGGCGGATGCGGAGTATTTGCCGTCCGCCTCTCCGCTATGCGCCCTGAGCCAACACCGGTCGATGGCTGGTCTCTCGGAAAGTCGTACGAACAAAATTATCGTACGAGGAATGTGACTGTGCCCCAGGTCCTGGTCGCACTCGTCGTGCGACAGGTTTATGACAAGACAGGCCCTGTCAGGCGCCCCCTGCCACTTGCTTAATTTACGACCGTAACTTAATTAAGAACGTTCTTGGCACATGTACATGTACTGCCGTGGATAATGCATGTTATACACAAAATTCAGCTGTCGTGTGACAGAAAAACAACAGTCAACGCCAGTCCTGTCATAGCCTCGCTAAAAATCGACCAAAAAAAAAAAAGAAAATCCGTCGCGTAGACCCCATAACGAGCCGGCAGGTGTACAGACTGATGTAATCACCATCGCCGTGAGACACTGGGCACACCGTTCCGCTTGTTCGGGCCGGCTGATATGTGTTCTCTACGTGTACAAACGTGGCGCGCCTTTGTAATGTTGCAGGGCGTGCGGTTCGTTACGGAAGATTACAACATTTCAGTATCATTCATTCACACTGCAAGTCACCCGCCGATTGTTCGATCGGGGACCTTTCTGTGTGCGAAAGACCCGGTTTTCAAGTTCGCCGTGCAGAGATTTGAATGGATGGTGATTATTAAGCACGACGGTTTACTCGCGGTGCTAGTCTCAACTGAAGTGCCGAGAACAAAGTGCAAAAGCAATCAGTGTACTTCAGACACAAATCCCTCTCCAAGACACGTCGCTAAGTGTTATGGACACTCAAGAGCGAGGGTTATAGTGTCAGTATGTTAAGCAAAAACAAGCGCCCAGAAGTGGACTACAAGTTAGACTGTGATCCTTCCTAAGCTCGGTTGTGACGTGGTCCTAATCTTAATCCCCGTCATTTGTCCACAAATCATCGGGGCAGAAACGGGACTTGATCCCATAATTAGTTTGGCGTAATTGAACAGGATATCGTCTGTCAGGGACGACCCGCTTCCTGTGCCACGACTCTCGTCTTGTAAACTCTTCCCCTGTCACAGCGCGAAGACCCGTGATAATAGGAGAGACAGTGCCCCTCCCGGGAAGATGCCAGGCCGCTATCTGGACACGGGCTGTCCGACATTCCGTTGCTAGGCTGTCGTCGTGTATGTGGAAACGCGGTTTGGGCAGGATAAGAGTGTGTGCTCTGCCCCGCCCCGGGAGCGGTGTTGACTTTTCCTTTGCTCCAAAGTGACCCGAGACGTGAGAGGGCCATACCAGAGCAGTAGTAACTCTAGCTAACGTACCGGGAAATACCGACTACTGTCAGCCGGGCCTGCCGACATGCAGGCCGAGAAGCCGCGGACGCTACAAATGGCGTCCACGGAGAAAGAGTTAGAGACGTACAGACTGAACCAGAAGGAGACGAGACGTCTTCAAGAAGTTCGGAGCCAGCTGGAGAAGAGTGAGAAGATACAGGTGTGATTTCTGGGCGACAGGTGTACAAGTGGGGAGGGAGGGGGCAGAGTTCGCTCGTGATTGTGTACTTGTGACAATTATAGCCCATTACCCCCAATCTCGGCCACCTATTGGCCGGTCAATCATCGAATTTGTTTGACAGGTTGTCAGTCAAGTGGGATCGTGTAATTCCCAAGTTTCGGACTTGTTTATGGACGCGCCATTAAAGCGGACAGAAGCTAATGTTTTCCCTAATGTGCGTTAAGCCCCTTCCATATATACAACCTGTTGTTTTTGGTCCTTAGCTTTGCAGTGGATTTATGACGGACCGTTACAGGCAAGAGTTGGGTGAACTAGAAAGTTTCGTCTACATATAACGTCTGTGAATGCCACAACTTCAGGAATGTTGTAGTTCAGAAACGTTGCAATGTACTACGAATCAGAAAGAGGAATCAAACACGTTTAGTACATGTATATGAAACACGTGAACTTTATTCAGTAATCTGTACATTCTAAGTTCTTATCTCTGTACATCAGAATTTAGAGACACTGTGACGAACAGGTTTATAATGTTCGTGTTCCGACCGCCGAACACATAAATCCATAAATGTGACCGTTGTTGACTTTCACTCTAAATTTGTACTACCCCCTACACTACCCGTACTGTTAAAAAAAGCCACGGTCACTGTGCTACAGAGACGTTTTAGTATCCATACAGTAGATATCTTATCTAAAACATTCCTATTGCCGAGGTTTATTAAGTTGGAGCTAATAATTCAACTAGTGGGGACTTAAGGTTGCATTGTTACGGCGTAGCAGCGGAATTAGGCGTCGTTGTGCATTAATCCTAGCTTCAAGTACGGGTATTCAGGAACTGTCCAGCGAGGATCGTTAATTTTCTCGGCGCATTCACGGTCAGGTGCAAGCCATTTGTAGTTATCTAAGACTGACTCCTGCTGTAGAACTTGTTCTTTATCTGACTTGAAAGGAACAGTCGCCCTTTTAGTGTAGGCGAGACAGGACTGTACAGAGTCTGTGTTCCATGGCGGGGCTATTATCCTATCTCCACGGAGCGTGGTTGTCTGGTCGAGGTCCGTGTTTTATGTCCTCCAGTTGGTTAAGTGTTGTCGCCTTCAAGCATACATGTAATATCGACCTATTTTCGTCCGTATTTTAGCTCCATTTTATGCATCTGTGAGCGTGGTCTTTTTCACCAGACGCGATGACTGAAACTTGACGTGAAGGAACGACACAGCGACCCCAAAATTGTGTACCATTCTAAAGAACAAGAAAAGAAAGCAGCGCGTGCCAGGCAGAAAATAACAAGATGGAAAAGGAAGGCGTTCAGCTGCCCAAACCACGCATCTGCTTGGAGACAAGTTGAAACGAGAAACGCACGACTACCGGCACCACGGTTTGCTGGTGGAATCCAGCGAAACAAACACGGGACTTTAAAACGGTAGTGGTTTTGAAGAGCGAATGTTTTTGTTGCGAACGAGGAGGGATAAAAGAGGAACATGTACGTACGAGATCTACGTGTCCAGATCAGTCTCTTTGCTTCATTTGGTACGTCTTTCTAGTAATGCATCTTCATGGAGGAAGCGATATGCGCTTCAATATGGACGTACTACATGTTGCAAAAACACACGTACATCTGCTTGGAGATTACACTCCTACCCGGTTGCAAAACTATAAAAGTTGGGAACTAAAAAGGGTACGCTTGCACCAATGCACCTTACTCTACAGCCCTAGCCGCCAGACCACCCAATGCCACCTTTATCAAATTCTTGAGGACATAACAGGCTTACTAGTATGCCTTTTCTTTCGTCACTTCACTTAGTATGGCAGTGTGGTAAGACTTCCCTGACATAACTCGGGGAGAGGTCACAGTACTAACACCCTCTTGAAGTCCTAATCCCCTTTATCGTACATCAATGCAGATTAAAGGTGGGACAAGGGCTCTGCTAATCAGGGATTAGCAAAAGAAGATTTGCATTTACAGAAATATCCTTAACCTGATATGTTGGGTTAAGTCTGTAGCGTGGACGGAGGAAGTATGCGGGGGTTGTGAATGGGCTGGAGATAAATCGTGGTCCGGGCTGTGTCTCCTGATATTCACGCGTAAAGTGTTATTCTAAGAAAAGTCAGGCCGGTGTACAACATTACAGCATTCTCTTGTCACCTAGCCCTGTCGTTCAAGACCGGCCACGACTGACTAGAGCACCATTACCAGATCCAATTCTTTTGTGGCAGAAGACAACGTCTCAGCCCTTTTTCTCCTTGCTGCCCAACCCTGTAACCAATAGAGAATTGGCAGCAGAGCTGCTACTTCATTGTGCTAAATATGTATATATTTGACTCACCAGAGTGAGTAGGGAGGATGTAGCACTTATAATTTTTGTTTTCCACTTGTCAGTCTTTGTTTTCCTCACTACTCGCACTCAGCCAATGTTTACAGTATAGTTTGTACAGCCAGTCATATCCGGGCGTAGTTGCAGCACGTCTGTCTGTGCTAAAGTCGCCCCTGTCGTGTTTTCCTACTCAAGAACACTTGTTGTGTCATGTTCTGTCAATCTCAAGCAGCAGGACATGACGTAAAAGGTCAAGTGGCGAAGAGACGGGAGCCTCGTAGATAAGCATTTCTGCAGATCATCTGAATCCCGCTAGAGGTTGCAATATACCTGGGGCCACTCTAGTGGCAACTTTGTCAAGCGAAACCCGCCCACATTGGCAACTTGCGCCTATTTTTAATGGGAGAAAGTTAATGGTTTTTAATTTAAGACCCATTGTTATCAATGCTTTTATTAACGTCTTTTTGTTATGCCTGTATTTATACGCATTGCTGTGGCATATGTATTTGTGGTTCTGTAGTTGTGCAGGTATCAAAGGCAAGGGGAGCTATGGCCTGTACTGAGCCCAGTGGTGCAAAAATATACACTTAAGCTTAATGTCTTCAGAGACTGAAATGTCCGTCTATCCCCATGCAGGTTCGGTCCATCTGTCAGGAGTCCGGGGTGGTGTACCAGGACCTGGAGCGGCTGCACGCGCGCGAGCTGACGCCGTCCCTGTCAGAGTGGCTGCAGGGCCGGGTCAGCACCAAGAAGAGCGCGCAGCGCAAGTTCCTGGCCCGGAAGATCGACAGTCCGAAGGCGCGCGCCCGGAAGAAGGCGGCGGAGGACGCCGAGAAGAGGCTGAGCGAGCTGGCTTACACCAATCGGATGTTCCGCGCCTCCGTAGAGCAGATGATGGGTGACCCCGCCGTGGTGGACGACACGTCGGCCGTGGAGACCGTGGCTAGGCACAACACGTTTCACGCGGAGGACGGCCTGGACGAGGCGGGCACGGACGTCGACACGCGGGAAGACAGCACGGAAACCCGGGAGCAGGAGTTAGACGCAGAAGCAGCCGAATGACAGGGACAGTGGTGCCGAGACGGCGAGATTCTTAGCTATGTATCTTATACAGACACTGACTCAGTCTCGTTTGGGACCGCATTCGCCTTGCCCCAACGCCACCATGCGGCAAAGAGTGGCATTGCGTCCTGATAAAGGAAGCTGAACAGTTGCCAAAACGTTGTCATGCACAAAACTAAGATTAACTCGAATTCGGGACTCGTGGTGAGAAACTGTCACAACATCGTCGCAGTAACGGAAAGTACCTAAAGGCCAGTAACGTTCTATAACGGTCTTTGGACCCCTCCCGGACGTTGGATAGCTTCCGTTGATACTACTAGTAGATACTAGTAGATGTTTATGCTCTATACAAGAATATCAATGGCAATATTTATCGTAAGCGTATAAAAGCGATAAGCGATATATGTGAAGTATGTGTGTACGTGAATTGTGAGAAACTGTGTTTATAAAAACTGTGCAATTTGTAGATATTTTTATAAGATGATCTATGTGTTTACCGTCAGGTGTTTACGTCTGGGAGTGTGACTAGTCACTGAAGATGTAGTGTATGTTGTCATGTGACGTCCTACTTAGTTATAGGCGACTCCGATCGCCATTCTCATATCTAGGGCACAGTCTTCATTAAGGTCAAGGTCTAGTTCCACTGTCATCAATGCTACTTTATAGGTTCAACACATGCCAGCCTTTTTTCAGTGTCTGGAACAAGAAAGAACACATGCACAGTTTATGTCATCATTCTTACATTATTCTATTTCTTCATAGTCCAAAGAGTACAATTACATATAACTAATAGCTAGCTGCCAAGTGGATTTGTCAACGTCAATTGAACCAATAAGTTAAGAATCAGCCCAGAAAGCGTTATTCAAATATTTACTAGTTGTAGTTATGCAGGTGTTTAAGACATACTTGAGAAGACGTTGTTTTTATGTGGCGGTCTCCGGGTACGGGTGTAGTTATGACAGTTGACGTTACGTGCCGTCACCATGTCTCCACACCACTTCTCCCCGTCCCTACTTGAACCCCCAACTCCACCCTAAGCACGTCTCCGTGCCTGTAATGAGAGGATATCGGCCCCACACAGCCCGACCCACCGATAAACGCTCTCCAAACGGGCCGTGATCGATCCCGAAATGTGCGGGGTCCGCCAAAACCGTCAATCATTTTCAAAGGGTTGAATAATCAAAAATCAAATAGCGGCTGTTGATAAAGTCTAACGGAAGGAATGCCAGCCGACGGGACGACATGTTATCAGTGCCCGGCTCCCGGGTTACACAGATAGCGGCGGAACCACGCTGTAAAACCTGGCAGGGCGCCTAATTTCTCATGATAAAAACCTGTATTGCCGGTGTATTAAGCGTACTCGACCGGACTATATATGATAGTAATTTGCCACCGTACATGATGCTCGTCCAGTTCAGTCAATGAAGGCCTTGACCCTGCATAGAAGTCTGTGTTCGAACTGAGGTGGCGCGGGTTAGTAATCGTAATGTGCAACGTATGGCATCTACTTGAACTTAATTTCAATCTACATAAACATATGAAAATTAAGACAATTACAGTCTAGTGAAGTTAACTACTATGTAACACAAACACACCTTGCAAAAGACTATATAGTATGGGATGAGAATGTGCATTATATTATTGGTGGAATTTCTAGCGTTTATATCACATTGCCTTAATGATTACATTTAATCCACATGTATATAACGTTATAAGTAGATTTATTAGGACGCTGTATTTGTATAAAGATACACAGTATCGCTCAAACGTGTTCAAAAGGCAGTGTGGTCTCATTTGTCTCGCGATAAGATCATAAAGTGCCGGTACATCAAGTGTAATCAATCGACGATTATGTGTATGAGGAATTTGACATCATATTTGCACACAGATAGCCCTGCAACATCAGCAAAATGTGTTCAAAAGGCGGTGTGGTCTCGTTTGTTCACGATAACATCAGATATTACCGGGAGCAAGTGCACTCAAAAGGCTATTAAACATGTTAGGACTTTGGTACTATATACTAACACTAAGATAAGCCCACAAAATCAGAAAAATATGTTTAAACACGGCCGTACTAAGTTGGGCCGACAGAAAATCAGCAAAATGTTGTCACATACATCGGACGTTGTATCTACGATATTTTTCCACGACGATATCTCCGCACGTCATAGGTTTGAGAAGAAAATGGTACACTGTTTAAATGTTTGAACTATTGCTCCAGTTTCCTCCCAAACCCACTGCACGTTCGTCGCGAAAAAACCAAACTCCATCGTAGGTGTGTCGTACGGTATCACATGGCCGAGTCTTTAGATCGTGTATAGTCGGTAACAAGAACACTTAATAGGATGATAGATTAGGATTTGACACTGTGTTTGCATAAAGAATGACTTGCAGAATCATCAAAGTATGCTCTAAAGGCGCCGTGGTCTTATTTATGTATCGGACGATAAGATGCTAAATTGCCGGTAGCGAGCACACTTAATAAGACTATAAATTAGTAGTCTGACACCGTGTTGACTAAAGGATCTATGGACTCCGCAAAACGATAGAAATGTGCTCTTAAGAAAACGTCAGTAAATGCTTAATGAGTCTGTTTTCGCTAAGCGGTTGATATGAACTCGCCTGAATCTATCATCTGGAGAGGTGCGAAAAACAAACATTTCCCTGGACATGTTTTGTTCAAACCACAGGAGCCGCGTCAGGCCGGGAGGCAAGGCTGGGTAAACTGGAACTTAATTAAACTTTGACGACCTCCTCATTCTGCAACTAGGCATGGGAGGAATCTCGTCATATCTCCAAGCAGACGGGAGGCGTTGGCTTGTTTTGCACGTCATTTTGCTGTGTATATACGGTACTCTTCTACGGAACACGTCACCCATCAATATAACTTTATTGGTATCTTTATACGCCATACAGTTTACTAAACTGTATTTTTTGTTGTCAGATATTTGTCTTGAATAGTGTACATAGTTTTGAAACCAACGTTATGGTCGCCGTGTTCTATATGATTGGCACAATTTCTCAGCCCAAGTCAAGTTCATTGTCAGGTTTATGTGTTTGGTCTATTTGTTTCCTCCCAATAAAGTTCACGTTGCATCCTGTTTAGGCAGCCATGATGACAAATGATCATCTCTTAATCTTAGGACGCTGTGACGACGAGACAAAGGCATAAGCATGTACCAGATGTCATAGCTCTATGACTAATGTATACATTGTACCAGTCTATGAAGTTTGTCCCAAAACACGTTATGGGTGTCTTTGTTCGCCGTATAGTTTACTAAACCAGGGCTGTCATTTTCAACTTGTCGTATGGTGTTTTCGTGGGCTGTTATATATAGGTTTAAAGTCTACATTATAGATGTTGTATACTACAGAATTGTCATTGTTTTCCAAACTGGGTCACGTACACCGTTAAGTTTATGAGTTTAGTTGGTTGTTACTCCCAAAGATTACCGGAGTTGCTTGTTATGGAAAGTTTTTTTCCGACAAGTATAAACCGTTTTTGCATGTTTGGTTCGCTGCGCTCTCCCTGCCTCGGCCACGTCCGCAGTTTGTACTTGTATTTATACGTTTCCAGGTTTTGAAGTTTGACAAAACCGCGCCGCAATATTTGACTTGGCGTGCAAACCTTTCCGGAACGGCGCTGTCGGCTCGCAAAACAGACCGATAGTGGGAACGTAGCGAGGAAGGCGCTCTCTATTCTGCTTCCAAATAATCTAAAGCAAGCATGTGATTTTTGACAATGTTAGATTAAATGTTCCTCGTTATTTCATCCATATCACCCCATCATATTTATCACCCTGTTCTGAAGGACCGTCCACAGAAGCACGTCGTGTGGTTCCGCTCAGTCGCTGATAAACGACACAGTCATTTATTATTCCACAATTCCACAGTCCCGCTCTCCTTCCCCGGAGGCCTCGCACTTTTAAATTGAGTAAACCGGGACTTAATTAAACTCTGGCGACCTGCTTACTGTGCAGCCAAGGTGAGGAGGAATCTGGACCACCTGTGTTCACCTGTACTCACGGCGCCGTTTAAGTTTCTGTGGAAGGTTAGTACTGGGCCATGTCAGGAGCGGGGTTGGGAGCTGTGGCGGCAGGAATTCGCAAATTGGGCTGTTTTTGTTACCTTCTCCTGTTATCTGCATTCCTGAACTCAGTCAAGTACACTGTTTGTATCTCTGTTTGTGTGGATTCGAGTTGCCAAGTTTACCACACTCTGTCGTCCCGAAAAAAAAATTCTGAAATGGAATATGTGATTATTATTTTCAAAGAACATTGCAGATATTTTATCCTATATCTATCCATATGTCCGTTTGTCTACCTGCTTGTCTCGCTCTCTGTATCTTTCTTCTCTCTCCGTCTCCCCCTCCCCATCTTCCCCTCTCTATATACATGTATGTACACCACTTTTCGTCAGACTGGCTTGAGTGTGATAGGCAACGTTTGACTTTTGTGTGTGCCTTTTCAATATCAGCAGTTTATCAACGTCCACATAATATACTTAGCTTATCGCTTAGACTTTCAGACCGAACTGCTGCAGAGTGCTTTGAAAACAACGCCACAAACACGTTGATCCGCTTGATTACGACGATCGCCCATACTGTCACGTCTGAAGTGTCTGCTGTTTGTACCGGGCTTTCAACATGTACTGATCGATGCTGTAATATTGATCTTTCCGTCCAACACTTTCTACACCAGTACTGAGGCTGATGTAAAGTTTAACTTTGACATAGTATATATACACTAAGCACATATTAGCTGGTCCTATTAAGCAGCAGTCACACACGTCCAATGATTGTTTCTGTCCTGCGATTTTTGGCGAGGCCATGACAGACCCGACTGTGGACGAGGACCTACGACAACCTTTTCCGTCACTGAATTTTGTAGGACATATCCACGACTGTCCCACAAATGCCGCCCAAATTGCTGTCGTAAACCTGTCGTAAAGACGTATGTGACAGGGTTTAAAGTTTGTGTACATATCATCGCGGTCTGTACCCGCCAGCTGGTCGTTAATCCGACAGTAATCCGACGGGCATTCATTACTGGGTCTTTATTTGCCGCTGTCAGAGAACTAAGCAACCCCGCAGAAACAAAGGAAGGAGTCGTCCTGCGCTCGTCCGCAGTTGGCCCGGTGAGGGGGTTCTTAAGGGGGTGTTGAATGTACTTTTTGAACTTTACAACCACTTCAAGACGTTACAAGGCAACAGGTGGTTAGACCAAGACTCTGCGCCAAGAGTTTCAAGGTGAGTCTGGGTTTCTCAAGGAGCCGTGTGAATTTATAATTTGTAATTTGTGAAGTAGTTTTGAGCACCATCTGACAGGTGTTTGTAAGAAGCGGGATCCTGACATACCGTTACCTGTGCTGATGTTAGCTTGCGTCGCACAACCGGTAAACTGACGCTTACATAACACGTAGGCTTAAGTCAGTATTAGCCAACTCTCTCTTCAGAAACCAAGATTTCTTTGCTGCTTTGTAGCCTGAAACCTTTACTATTCTGACACAGCCTTGCTTGTCTTCGCGTTGTTTGTTCTACACTTTGTGTTGAGTTTTATTTTAATTGACGACATAAAATACTAGTAAGCATGAGTCTGTTGTTTAACTACATCTTGTTATTGCCAAATGTTGAAATGAATAAAAGAAAGGTATTTTAAGTATGCTTTGGACGTGGCGGCCATCAACCACGGTGCTTTGAAACGGTCGAATTTGCCTTGAAAATAAAGAAAACTGACACTTGCTACCAGTCACAGAATCAACCCTCCCGCTATGTTCGCGTGACGTCACCGCGATGACATCATATGGGTTACGTCACGTTTCCGCCGCCATCTTGTTTACACCTGTAGTAAAGAGTCGTTCCGTCATTCGTCGCTAGGTGTCGGTTTCCTTCAAGTAGATGTGTGATGGTTTCTTTTTTGCTCAGTAGTTTCTCTAATCGACTAGTATGTTCTCTAATCAATGGCTGTTCAATACGAAAATATAAAAATATTGATATGAAATTGTTCATACAAAGACAGCATGTGCGAAGACAGAGGACTTGGCGTGGCCCTCTTATACTGCACAGAAACTCCGGCCGCTTTCGGGACTAGTTAATCCGGCTTCACATTGTCAACGAGCTTCGGACGAATTTGATGGTCAGAAAGTCGCCGAATTCCAGAGTCGCCAGAGATTCGAGTGTATTCTACTCTAGATATGTTACATTGGGCAGAGCTCAGTGACCTGCGCACATCGCCCGATCTCTAAACATTGCACAGTGATCGAGAGGACACCGGTTGCACGTTGCTGCCGAAGATGTCGTTTTAGGGCTGGCAGACTTGTCGGGCAAGCTGTTTTGTGACGCCGGCTTAAAGAACAGGACACAGATGACAAAAGGACCAATCGCAGCTGGAGGATGTCACCACTTCTATAAATGCAGAAAACAATGCGTGATCACTATAATGGGATCTCCATATCTCTTAGAGGGGGCAGAAATAAAACTAACTTATCGGACCTTTGAACCTCAGAATCCTATTTACTTAAGCAGATTTGGAGTTCAGAGGTCGAAGAATTAGATTTGTCTCTTCCATCTAAGCATCAGCAGCAAAGCCGGCTTAGTAGAACTTTGAACGTGTCCGCACGCACTCCGTGATAACC